TTAAAAATATTAAAAATTAACTTTTGGGCTTGTATGGCAGCTAACAGAACCTGTCAAACAATTTAATCAAAACTTCAATAATAAATGTGACCCATAATTGGACTCACGACTGCCAAGTCTCATGAATCTGACTTTATTATTTTTCCAAATATTTAAAATTAGCTTTTGGACTTGAATGGCAGCAACCCGAACCTGTCACGTAATTGGACACATGACTGCCAAGTTTCATGAATCTGACTTTATTATTTTTTCAAATATTTAAAATTTCCTTTTGGTGTTGTATGGGAGCAACTTGAACTGGTCCAGCCATCCCATTAAAATTTTTAGAGCATATGTAGAATGTAATTGGACACACGTATTCGTTTTTGAAATATTTAAAATAAACTCTTTGAGTTGTATGGCAGCTACCCGAACCTGTTGTCCGAATTGGTCCAATTAAAATAGGGTTCGTTCTTGGGACAAAAAATACAACTTTTGAAAGTTTGGTGTCGATTGCATTATTCGTTTTTGAGTTATCGTGCGATCGGACGGATGGTAGCAGAATTTTACGCTGAGCAAGAATATACATATATGTCCACACCGCACATGACTTCTTCAAAGGGTTACAAACACCGTACCAAAGTTAATATACCTTCACGGATGTGCAGGGTATAAAAAAAAACATCATAAAAATTTTTTTGAGATAGTGCGCAGATAGCAACGCATATGTATGTCTGCATATAGTATATGAAGTGTCGCATAAACGCAGTATATCGCGATATATAGCGAGAACTATCACAAAAATATTTACATTATCATGGCTAGTGCAGTTAAACCAGCTATAATTTTTTAAACTAGCTTTTGCCGTGTTAGGAATTCGTCTGTTAATTGCTACATAAAAATAACAGTTTTGAACAGGTTTCAGTTTTCAGTTTTTCTTTTTCTAAATTTTTATTTTTCCTGAAATAGACTTTTCCACTATTTCGCCCAAAATAAATAAATATTTTTTTTTAAAAACGACATTTTTTCTTCATGGACACAGTACTGCAAATTTAAAAAAGTAAAAGTTTTTAAACAACTGTTAAAAATATATTGCATATAAAATAATAACTGTATAAAATATATTGTATCACATTATTGTTTTGCAACATTGTGTTTATGAAAATGCCTATTATTTTAAGTTTAAGTTTTTTTTGTGACATTTTTTAATGTGAATTTTTTTTTTAAGTTTTTGTTATGTTTTTCTCATTTTTTTTGTATTCTTATGTTATTAAATTGTTTTTTTTATGAAATATAGAAATAGGCTCCAATTGTTCGAAAACGCCTCCCTTTTTTGAATATTTTTTCTCCTGATCCAATAAACCAAACGACAACCCTGACCCATTCACATAAGAACATATAAATAAAATAAAAAAAAAGGTTCTTCTTTTTTATCTTTTGTATACATAAAATAATCAACAGTTAAGAGACACCAGGCTTTTCACGCTTTCCTGTTGTTTTCTAATAATAAACAACAAATATACTTTACTATATATCTACTTTTTCAGTACTGTAATTACATATACATATATGTACATAATTGATATAAATTACACCAAAAAAATAAATGTAGTGAAAGTATAACTGACGTCCGCCCAATATATTTAAGATGGATTTTATGGTTCGCCGAATTTCAGTGGCCACGGTCAATCTATTATTTCCGTGACGGTTTTCAGAACAAATGTTGATCGTTTACCGAATTTTTATTACGCGCCAAATACAATTTCTATACAAAACAATAAATTGTACTTTTTATGTACGCGTACGCCACTGTCACCATGGACAAATAATTTACTAAAAGATTGGTCTTGAATAGCACTAACATTTGAAAATGTGACAACACACAACGGTTGAAATTTTATTTAAAAGAAAGAAATTGTTAATATTCTAGTAACGTCAGACTTCTTAAAAAAGTGGTTTATTATAAATTGATCGCAGTCAGAACTTATATCTTCTTATACCATGAGTTTGAACCATATTATATCAAAAATTACCCATCACACTTATGCGAATGTAAATACGTACATATGTATTATAAAAATTTTAAAATTACTATTTTATTTTGCCAAATTATTTTTATATTAACAGTCTGATCGTGTATCTCGCTTTTTTTAATTTTTATTCACTTTCAAATCAGAATTCTCAGTATTTTCTAATGGATGTTTTACTTTTCCAATAAGATTAGAAAAAAATGCAACACTAAACAATTCTTCCCACTCTACATTATACAAGTATTTGATAGTTACTCACTTTCTTCTCACTTTCCGAGTAAAATAGCGGGATAGACGATCAGGCCCCAAATTTCCGATTTTAAAATTTTGTCCTAAGGAAGGGAAAATTTTAAATAATTTAAATGCAGGTGGTGTATGTGCGTGTGTGTGGCACTATCTGATAAAATATAGGCACAAACAAGCTACAATGTAAAAAAAAAGAAGAGATAGATAATAATAAAGAGTAGAATCACGTTTTATATTGATTATATCACAAGATATACGAAAGGGAAAGGTATTATGCAAAGAAGTTTCAAACAATTTAGATTTCAATTTACAATTAGTAACAAATTACAATTAGTAACAAGTAAAAAATTTATAGTTATTATGCTACACATATTACAACTCGTAGTCTAAACTCTTTTTTATACCCGTATAATTTACTGCAATTTCGAAGTCATTTTATATTTTACTTTTAAAAAATGTGACAGTAACGTCTAATGATAATGAGAGTATAATTTCAATTTTTTGCTCCTTAAGCAAAATTTGATGTCAAATAGGATTTAAATACATACATTCCATCATCAGACTCAGATTAAATTGTTAAAATTAATACAAAGGAACAAGGCACAAAAAAATCCAAAAAAATGCTATCTCAAGAAAATAATCAAAGAAACGTGGAACAAATAAAAGAAGTAGTAAAATAAAACGAAAATTATCAAATATTTTAATTTTTTCTTACATAACACTGCATGTTACTCCAGTTACTTTCATTCAATAGCACCATACTATATCTAATATCAATTGTGTATATGATTTAATTTTTATGTTGCTAAAAACAATAGCAACAGCAACAAATTTTTATTAAAATTTAAATTCCATTATTTTTGTCTTTTATTAATTGCTAATTAGAAATAATAAATTCAAATTTCAGAGTTTAAATTAAAATTAGTGGAACTACTGAAGATTACATTCGAATTCCAATAAGATTCCATATCCTTAAATAATCATATAAAACGATCAGAAAAACTGTTTTAGGGAAACTTAATGTCAAAATCTATTAATTTTTTATATTGGAATTTTTTCATATTGGAACTTTATTTTAAATTCGTACTAATATTGTATAAATACTAATAATCATAAAATTCGGAATGAAGAACACCAACAATTTCATTTTGGTTTTTTTTATTATAACTTTTCAATGGCAACAAAACAGTTGGTTATGTTTTTAGCAGCGTTTTTCCATTGCCCCTTTAAAAATGAGGTGTAATTAATTTTATAATATTGTGAATTTTTTTCACTTTTGATTACAATTATATGATCACCCACTAAAAAGACAAGGCTTACAGATAAACACACACAAAGTAATAAAGCAATACTTCAAAAATAATATCGTTTACCCAAAATATTAAAAAATTATATTTCTCTTATTCTATTTGTCAATTTTTTTTTTAATTAATTTCAAAATTTAATAACAATTAATATTATAAAAAAATTAATTTGACATATAAATTGAAATAATGTAGGGACTACATAAAAATATACCTATGTATACCGCTTTGAAATTAAAAAAATTACATTTTATTTATTTATTTTTTTGTTATCAAACAAGAAAAACTAAGAAAAAAAAAAAATGTTATTATTATTCTATATTATATTTGTTCTCTATATATTTTATTTTTTGTGTTTTTGAAAGATTGTATGTGATTTGTGAGTGCGGTGGTGAATTGTGTAAACACTACCTTATCTAACAAAAAAATTTTATAATAAAAAGATATAGAGTTTACACACCAATAATAATAATATGTTGTTTAAAGATGTAAGGTCTCTTAAAATATTTTAATTGTAAAAATATTGTGTTGCATATACGATATATTGTCTATGTTAATATATATATGCATATATATATATATATATATTATTTATTTCATATATACACATGACCAAGAAGAATACACAATAAAAACAACAAAAAAAAACGTTATACAAACCACATTTTATTTTTTTCCATTGTATATATACAATATACACATCTTGTGTATTTTCAAATTTTTATATGTACAAAATTAAAACGGCGACGACAACTACGATGACGGAACGGAACGAAACGTCGGCGGGTCCGGGGTTGCCTTATGATAATTTTTTTTTTGACTCCACACACTCTCTGAATAGAATTTTTTTTTTGTTTGTAATATTTTTTCGTTTCGTTTTTTTTTTTTTTGTAAAATTTATTTTAAATGTTTTTTTCTGTTAATTAAATTATATCTATAATATACATAGGTAATTATGTATGTACTGTATGTAAAATAATCATATGTACATTAATTTTTAAAAACTACTTAATTATTAAATATTCTTGCCTGCTCTCTTAAAGTAGTTTGCAAAGAAACGTTTTACATTATATTACATACATATATGTATGTTTGACACATACTACATACGTATAATAATTGGCAGAGCGAAATATATTTTAGGTAGAGGTTAGGTATGTGCTGTAGGTAGGTAGGTTAAAGCCTGGCCTGCAGGGATGTTATTTATAATATATTGCATGAAAAGTCAAAAAAATATTGATGAGAATTAAAAAAAAATTTGTACAAAACATGACATTTTCTTTCTGTGTATTTTTTCTTTTTCCGACGAAATTCTCAATGAGATTTTTGTAACAAAAAAAAAAAAAAAAACAAAAAATTTATAACTTTCAAATTTTTTTTTCTTTTTTAAACGCGTACACAAAATACAAACAAAATGAAAAAAATTAAATTTTTTTTTTACAGCTACACACAGAGAAAAAAAATAATGCTACTTTTTTCGAATTCGCACATTTCCTTCTTTTTTTTCTCTTTTATTTTTTCACCCAAATATTTTTCTACATTACAACACCCAAAATTTCTTGAATTTTATACAAAAAAAAAAATTATTAAAAAAAATTAAGAGTTCTCGAAGTATTCCAAAGTTTTATAATAAAAAAAAATTTCAAAAAAAAAAGTCTAAAAAATCTTGTTGGCGATTTAAAAAAATTTCGCTGTAACTTTTTTTTTGATTAAATAAAAAAATTTTTCTCGCTTTTTTTTTTAGCTTGCTTGCTTTTTGACGTCCGAAAGGTGCTGCTCTAAACAAAAATTTCTTTTTTGAAATTTTTTTTTATCCACGTCTAAAAAATTTATTTCACTTTTTTTTCTTTTTTTTTTTACAAACACAGAAAAAAACGCTTTTTTAAATATTTTTTATAGATTTTTTTTCTTTTATACAACAAATTCCACTTTCATATTTATTTTTTTAAGATTTTTTAACTTTCGAAAATTAAATTTGTTTTTTATTTTATATATGTATATTATTTGATTAAAAAAAAATATATATATATATATGTGTAAGAAAAAAACCCTTTTTTCTTTTTACTTTTCTGTTTCTTTATTTCCTAAAATACATGTGGTGTGCTTTTGACACTAAAATGTACTACTTTACCCCATGCACAATATTCCTGCGTGGCAGCAGAAAAGAAATACAATTTCCGAGAAAAAAGAAAAAAAATGAGAGAAAAAGCAAAAAAAAACTCACATAGTCAATTTTTTTTGTTTCTCTTTTAAAATTGAATATTAGAGAAATGACATGACATGTTTGCCAAACTTAAAAAAAGGGGAATATTATCAAAAAAAAACTAAGAAAAAAAGAGACAGAATAATAATAATTTAAAAAAAGAAAACTATATAAATATATTATGTTATGTATGTGAATATGAAACGAATCGTTTTTGAGTTTAGAAAAGAATAGGCAACCATAGAGCAAGCAGGGTTGTCCCATTTTAATATATTAAATACAAAATTATAAAATTGACAATGTTGACAGTCTCTTCTCATGCAATTTTTAAATTTGCAATTTTTTACTGCTTAAATGTAATGTCGTTGCACGCTTTTCGGAGCAACTTAACTACAATTTAAATCATAAATTGCGTTAAATTAAAAATTGCAATCAGTTTTGTAAAAAATTAACAAACTATTTGATTGCTTAATTGCGTACGAACATATAAGATGCATGTGTGAGTTCTTCAGCATAAGCCTATTGAAACGTCGAATAAACAATCAAACAATATTGTAAAACTAAAAACTGCATATCTTCTCCTGTGTCCCAAATTTTGATTGGTTTTGCAATTTGGGTTGGATTTGGATTCATGTCATCAATTTATAAATTTGCGTTCCGTTTGTTTTTATTCCGTTCGTTAGTATAATATATTAATATATTAATTTTTGTTTTAAAGAGCACTATACAAGTTCTTTTCCTTCTTTTTTTTAGCACTTTCTCCAAAAATTTTTGAAAAAAAGTGCTTATTAGTTTCACTCTGTACGTCTGTCCGCCCTTGGACATGTTTACAAGATTTCTACAGCCTTGAAGATAGAAACTGAAATTTAATATGTACATATGTAGATCTTTACTAAAAACTTATTTCCGTAGAAGAAAATTTTTACCTATTTCCCCTTGTTTTCGAAAAAAATTTAAAAAATCAATCATTAATAACATATATATATATACATAAAATTCCATAATTTGTTATTCAAAACAAAACAATTAATAAAATCAGTTACAAATGTCATTTCTTCAAATGTTTGTAAGTAAATAACGTAAGAAATTTAAGTGGCCCATACTAAAATTCACATAGTAAATATTACATATTTGCCTATCACCCAGAAAAGTTTCGTAACGGATGATATAGATGTAGTTTTATACAACATACAAAGTTACGACCACAAAAATTAAAATTTTTAATACTTCCTTCAACTCTCATCGGTTCAACGTGTTGTAAACTTGCTACGTTTTCAACGTGTTGAGAGACCAAGTTGAATGGTGGATGGGAAGTATGAAAAGCATTTAAAAAAAGGAAAATACTAGAAAACCACTGAAGAACAAGATAAAAACGCAATTGATTTCCATTAAAACCTCGTTGAGTGTTGAATTAAACAAATATTGTTATTAAAAATTATTACATATTATAGTAATACATTCTATTTTTCATATGATCTGTGATGATAAATAGAAAAATAACTGTCATATGACATTTGACATAAAAATATAAGAAATAGCAAGCTAGTTTTGTCATTAAATTTAATATTAACGCTTTATACATAACAGAATATACGTTTACAAATTGAGAAATAAGAGTAAAAGTATTAATAAACAAAGCTATTGTTCTGTTTTACGAACTAGTGGAAGTTGCTGATATTTTTCTGAATTTAATATAACAAATATTTCTTTATGTGTACACAACATGCATACTAAGAGATAAAATATTTCATTTAATTGTACATAGGTATGTATATGATATTATTAGAATACATAATAACATTTAAGCTTTAAGCAAAAAAATTTTTGAACATCCCATAAACGGTCGATTTGCTGAAAATAATATAACGCATTTAAAATCATTGCATCAAATTTCTTAGAATTTCATAAATTATGTATGTTTGTATGTATATAAAAAGTTTTTTTTAAAAAATATAAATTTGCTACAATGTTCAAATAAGCATTGTTTGTAAACATTAAACAAAGTTTAATGTTTACAAACATTAAATGGTTTTGGAATTACTGTTCTTTTGTTAACACTTCTGATTGTTGTAGAACTTTACAAGATGCATAATATTATATAAAAATATTTTGTCAAATTATCAAATAAAAAAATAAACTCTTCAGAAATACAATATCTGATATTGCACGGCTTATAATTTTGCAGAAAGTTAGGTAATTATTGTGAACTCAAAGCAATTCACACAGATGATTTGTGTCTATAATAAAATTTTGAAATATTTTGAATTAATGGAAGGGAATAAACACTCAAAAAGTATTCACATTTGAATTTATTTGCTTTTATGTTATTTAGAAATGCACCAAACTGATTCTTTAACGAATCAATTAGATTTCTTCTCTTTTTTTCAAATTGGTAGCATTAAACTATTTTTTTTTTTCTGAAAATTGAATTTCCATATTATAACCTTAATTGTTCATTGTAAATTGAAAACACTTGAATTTGACTCAATAAAAAAAAACTGTGCTTTAAATAAAGTGAATGACAAATTTATATAAAGTACATGAAACGGTCACGAAACTGACAAACCAATGAACTCATCTTAAATGTATAATTCATTAAATATTCAGAAATCAATAACTGTTATTTGCTAATGACATTAATATTTCAATCAAATTTTGTAATTATAGAGTTTTTGTTCACAGAGTTACCTTTTTACAAGCTCTGTTGCATTGTTCTAATAAGGTCTCTTCGAAGTCAGAAATGTAAACACGAGTCAAGCAAAATTCTCTTACCGTAACTGCGTAGATAATGAAGTGGCAAGTTGAAATATATATTTATTAAATTTATGTAAATTAGTAAAATTTTTAATGTATTGTAATTTTTGTTGACAATAACTTGTGAATTGCTTTGTTAAAATTTTCTTAACTTTTGAAAATTTTCTCTGCTTACTTTATTTAAAATTGCAATAGTTATAAAACGTCATTTTTGTTTGGCTTTCAAACTGACAAGGCAACTTCACTTTCGAGATGATTTCAACTCAAGTATACATATATCAAGATTCATATAAACACTCGATAAAGTTAAAAAACGAAAACGTCCAAGTGTCAATCACTTTTTAGGTTCTTGCATACAACTTACATACATATATTGTTACAATAAGAATGTGACATAAATTTTGTTAAATGACGTTTCACTTGAAAAATTGACAATTGTAAAATCGAAAATAAAAAAAGAAAAAAAAAGTTTGTAAAAACAAAGTTCAACTTTTAAAAAAATGTCAAATTTATTGAATTATTTTTTCACTAAAATGTCTTATAGTTTGTTAAGGGAGGGTAATGTGATTGTTTCAAATTTTGTAATAAAAAAATTAGAATAAAGAGGAAGAGGAGAGGAGAATAAAACGAAGGAAATAAAAAATAAAGTCCTTTTTACATTTTCTAATTATCGATTTAATACTAAAATGAGTAGAACACATGATGATCAGTGAATTGTTTAATAAAAAAGTTAATTCTGCTTTTTCTAAATTATGAAATGTTTTTTTTTCTAATTTAAAAATTAAGTTTAAAATACTCTTGTTTATGTGGATAAAATATTCTCATACATGTAAGTAGTATGTACATATATTTTTAATTATAATGTTATTTATAAGTAGTTTGGACATGTTACATATCTGTTAAATATGCTGAACTTCTTTAAAGGAATTTAATTGATGCAAAGAACTGGAATGTGTCGTCGTAAAGGAATTGTCCAATAGGATTCTCATTATGAGCCAGTGTTAATTCGCAGTATTTGCGGTTCTTTTCCCGTCATTTGCTAACCAATAAATTTAGGCGTATTAAATAAATAAATGTTAATGAAATATCAGGAAATTACAAACGTTTAAAAAAAAAAGAAACGTACGCCAAAACAATTTAATTGTGTCATTTTACAAGAGTAATTTTAAAAAATGGCAATGCTTATAACTTCGGGGCCATACAACATAGAGTTATCATTAGGAGCTTGTTTTATAGGCGATATTATAGTTCTTTATTTTTGGTCTTACTATTAATTTGATTTAATTGAGTTTTCGAGATACTGGTCGTCAAACTCAGAATTTTTTTTTTGAAATTATTTTTTATGAAGTTATAAGCTTTTATTTAAATGCAGGAAAAGTCCGGTACCTTTTTCTCAACATTCTGTAGCTCGAAAACAAGTATATCTGCACTCCTCCCCTCTTTTCCAACAATTTTTTGCTGGAAATTGTTCAAAGAATCATCCACCTTAATTTATTATTTGCCACCTGAAGCAAAATACTTTCTATAATTACTGTATTCTTTATATCATATGAATTTCATCTCAAATTTCAGATACATAATACAATGTAAGTGAAAATAATTTTGGAGGAACTATTATTATATAGAAATTGAGAATACCCTAATTATAAGTAAAGTTCATAATTATTGTTTACTAAAATGAAATGAAACAATATATGTCTGTATGTACCAGTTTAATTGTTTCTTTAAGGAACAATTTTGAGTCAGGGTATTGCAATATCAATTGAATTTGTATTAAACAAACTTACGTCTTCTATTTTAAAATAAACATTTGTATACCTAACTTATATAGATTAAAACTTTTATCTCAGGCATTGAATATTAATTAAAATACTAAGAGAAATTGCGCCCCTCCAACCGAACTTTTGAATTATTACGCCTTCAAGTTTTTAAGAATTAAATTTTCGATCAATTTTATCTTGAAAACTGATTATGAAATCTATTTAAAAGTAAAAATAAGCATCATAAATAACAATTTTCCTATCCAAAAGTACTTACTTATATTAAACTTGTAAAAGCCGAAAAAAATTAATAGTATATTTAGAACAATTTAAACATTTCTGAATATTTTAAGCCTGTATATTTTAGCCTTTATAACCGAACTGATATTATTTTTTTTGTTTTGGTTTCAAGTGTTATATGTACTTAGTTCGGGAAAGTGGAACAAACCTTGTCATTGCTCTTTAATTTGTTAACTCACGGAGAAAGTTGTGAATACTGTGAAAGTCCGTAAAAAAACATTTGGTTCCTTGCAATTCCGTCTCTGGCAGGTTTTATAATTAAATCTCTATATAAGTCTGACTTTGAATGAACATTTGTTTTTATAATGTACATATTACAACGGTTAAAATTAATCGTTATAAAATAATTGTCATTCTATATTTTTTTGAATATGAACTTTATTCCTCAAAACAAAAAATTATGATTATGTTTCATTTTTTATTAATTAATTCTTTTTTATTTTCTTTTTTTTTTTTGTTATACTAGCCTAAATTATGTAATGAAAAAACGATAATGATTATTAAATGACATCATGTAAAAAATAAATATTAGGATTAAGTCATTTGGTTTTCAAATACAATGTAACAAACATTTTACGTACACCACGACCTCATTTTGCAAAAATAATTTTGGTTTCCAAAAAAAAAAAGAAACTTATCGCAAGTAACAAAGAGGAGGTTGCAATTCAAAATAATTATTTTGTAATGCAGTGTACTAAAGATGTGTTCCTATATTAAATTTAAATGTTTATTTAAAAAACAAATTAAATGGCCTACTATGTAGCCTAAACAATTATACATTGGATCTATATGGCCACTATAATTTCGTTAGTTAATTTTTTTTAATAATGACACCAAAAATGAATGATAGGTTTCAGAAAAATGTGTGTGAATGATAAAAACTATGATGATATATCGCGTTTGTATCACATAAATCACATGAATTTTTTGTTGAATTAGAAAATAGATACTATGATGACTGCAAGTATTAAAGTTTTTTTATAACTGTTGCAAAAATATTATAATTTAAAAGAGGGGCATATTAAAAATATGTTGAATATTGAAGAATTAGTTGAGTAGATTTCTAAGTATATGTGTGAGACTTTTAAGATTTAATTTAGAACTTTCAGTGTATGTCGAAAATTTCCTTGCATTTTGATATAAGATAAATTTTTTACGCAATGTAAAGTATAAAATGATGATGAAATATCGCTGTGGAACGTCGTAAATCGAGGCATTGGTGTTCAGAATATTATACATTATGTGTGTATTATGTTGTTAGAAAATTAAAATGAAATAATCAAGAAATAAATAAAAAGTATAAAAAATATGGGATAGGATAGCACAGCATAAAAAAGGAGAAACAAAAAAAAGGAGAGTAGAAAAAAGCCAATATCTTATTTTAAAAGGATTAACCGTTATATATTTCATTTCTATTAAAGCCGTTAACGAAGCTGTTTTAAACGGAATATTAAAATTAAAAAAAATTAAAAGTAAATTTTAAAACAATAATATTAATATAATTTATTGAATTCTATAACACAAAAATTATTAATAAAGGGTGAAGGATGGAAGGTGAAATTATTAATTAGAATAAGATGGCTGAAGTCGCGTACCTTCACATTTTTTTATGTTTAAATTATATTTAAATAAATTTCCTTACAATTCGAATAGGAGTGGTATCTTTTAATAAACTACCTACATATCGATATTAATTACCTATCTATCGAGAATTGACAGGGAGAAAACAAGGGGAGAAGTTTACGAATGGAATGAGAGTTATAATCACATAATTATGTAATAATACTGATAACTAAAAAAGCTATTATGTATATAATTATAAAATATAATAAAACTTATATATTACACATAAAACTTTTTTTCGGAAATTGATCAACGAATTTTTTCTTAGCTTTATTTTGAAAAGTCTTAAAAAAAATCAAATCTAATTATTTATAATTAATTATTTTTTCTTTTTTCTTTAACAGGAAAAAATAAATAAATAAAATAATTAAAAAAATAAGAAAAAAAAACTCAAAACTATTTTAATTTCAAAATGCGAATTCTTGAAACATATAATTTCGAGAATCAAACAACATATGGTATTACTGGTGAGATTAAAACGGCAACACTATTAGGTGATAAAAAAATTGCCATAGCAAATGAATCATATATTGAAATTTATGATTTTGATGAAAGACAACAACAGCAAAATATTTTTATTCCAAACAATATTGAAATTTATCCAGCAAAATCTTCAGCAACACCACCTTTAACATCACCACCAATAGTATCATCGCCATTAACATCACCACCCATAACATCAGCAAAACAACATTTATTAGATAAACTATCAACTTTGTCGTCACCAAAAATATCATCAGATTTGTCGACGCCGCCACCAGAAATACATTCATCATTATCGAACAATATTGCAAAATTTTCAACATCATCGTTAACAAATCAATCATTAACTTCATCAGTACCATTGGTAGAATCATCAATACTAAAAGAACAATCGTTTATCAAAGAAGACAATGAGAAAATTGAATTGGATAAAGACAAAAAAGCAACTGATAAAGCAAAAAGTGATGATAAATCAAAATATAATTCAGATTCAAACCAAAATCAAATAAACAAACAAATATTTGCTACATTAGGTGATATACAGGAAATGATATTTTGCAAACAAGGTAAATTTTCATATTAGATTGTATTTTGTTTAACATATTAAATTTGAATTGTAAGTTAGAGATATTGGGGTATTATCAATATCTTTTTAAAACCAAAAATTACTATATACATGCATACTTATTTTGAATGTGATTTATAATAAGCATGTACATATATACTTATTTTTTTTAAATGTACTCAATCCTTTTATAGGATTGGTTCTATATTTCTTTAATTACAAGCATTAAAAGAAACTGCTCACTAAAAGTTTCTTTATTTGACCGTTTACATCTTCTGATGTAATTACTTTAAAAGCGATATAACAAAATGGAATTAAAATAAATTGCTAAGCTTCCGTATGCAATAATTGTAATTAATAAAACTTTTGGAATCGTATCGATAACCAGCGTAAATTATTGAAAAATTTTTTCAGTAGTAAAATGTGTAATAAAAAGTACAGAAGAGCATAAACAGTTTAAAATTTCACAGAACGAAAGGTTACGAATTATATTTAATTATATTAAATTAATTATGATTTTGTAATTTCTAATGATTAATTATGAATACGGATAATAATGAAATAAACTTATGGGTAAAAAATTAAAGGTTGTTTTTATAATACTTACAAATAATAAAATTATTATATTAATAAAAATAATGATTTTATTCAAACTATTGCAGGTAATTATCTTCTTAGCCTGGAAAAATTTAATTTTGAGAATGATTTCGGAGAAAATTATAACAATCACCAAAATGGTAGATCAAATAGCAATAAAAATCATCATGGATCAAAAGTTACCGTTGATGATAGTAATAATTCAATATGCAAAGTATTAATTTACTCAAATATATTGGAATATTTTGAAAATAATTCAAAAAAAGATAGTGAATCTCAGAATAATAAAGAAATGCCATTAATAGTACCTAGAATAGCATCAAAAGTAACACCAACTGTTAACGTTACAAATGGAATTGAAGTTATTGAATTGGAAGTTTATGAACCACCGGATATGGTTAATTGTTGTCAGGTATTTACAAACAAATAAATAAATATGTCTTGTGCATATATAATTAAAAGAAATTTTTTCAAATTATCATTTCAGGAAACTGGAAATATTCTTGTTAAATCAAATTTACATTTATATTTATTTAATTTTCGTGAATGTACCAATGATCAACAACATTTCAATTATATAGACTTTTTTGAATTTCCATTTTACTTAGAATTAAATTTTTTACCGACACAAATATCACTTATTGAAAATGTTATTGCGTGCATTAATAAAAAACAATGTATTGTATTTAAAATAATACAACATGAGCAACGGGAACAACAAGAGCAACAACAACATGGTAATTCAAAAACTTACATTAATTTAACTAGTATTTTAAATTACAACAGTAATCATAATGCTGATATTAATAATAACTTTAATTTCAATTATAACAAAAATAGATTTTGATGAAATATTAGACGATGATGAAGATTATAATGGTATCAGTTATGCAACAAGCACAACCACTACAACAACAACTGCAACAACAACTGAACTAAGCATTGCAGCAACATTAAGTAATGATGATGACGACGATATATTAATTTATAATAGAAATGATAATAATTATGATCCTAATATTAAAGTAGTTGATGATGAACAACATAAGATTAATGATACTATTCAACAACAACAAAATATTGAATATAACAAAAAGGATATAAACCGTACTAAGAAAGATATTGATACTGATTCATTAGAGTATAATAATAATAGTAAATACAAGAACAATAACATTAAAAAATTAACTGCAAATGACAGTAAAAATGATTCAAAAATAAAAAAATTGTTAAAAAAAATATCTGCATCATCAACACCATCTCTCGATTATGGTTTATTAGTTCAAAATTCTGAATTGGAAGACTGTGAATTAATTTCAACATGTGATTCAATGCCAACATTAAAAAGTAATAATAACAATAATAATCCAATTTCTTCAAGACAAAAATCTTTGAATGAACAACAATATCAAGCAAAACAAAATGATGTAAAAAATTTAACAATTGAAGACCATCCAATACGATCAAATGATATTAACGTTAAATTGATTAATGAAAAGCATTATAATTTTAACAATAATGATAATATGAATCAAGTATATAATAATAATTATAATAATTATTATAAATTTAGTGAAAAAAAATATGAAATAAAAAAAATGTTACAAATACGTATGGCATCATTAAAATATTCAAATTATATAAAAATCCCAGAGACCTTCACTTGTTTCGATTTAAAATCTATTTATAAAAAATGTAATAATAGTAATAATAATTACGAAAGCAATGATAAAACAAAATTAAATAAAACATTTTCAAAAACCGAATGTGGAGAAACAACATCGTCGTCATCGTCAACTGCTATACCAAGTAATAGTAATAATAACAGCAACAATAATAATAATACCCATAATAATAATAATAATAATAATAATACTCATAATAATAATACTGATAAAAAAGATTTAATGAAATCAAAACGTTATATTGATTGTATTGGCTTCAGTTTTATAATTACGACAACTGCTGCTGATGGCTATTTATATCAATTTTGTAATCATGGCAAATGGTATCGTGAAAATCAAAAATCATTGACAAAATATCAATTTACTGCACAAGTAATATCAATTATAATATCAGATTTTGTCGTACATGCTGTTACTCGTGAAACAATTGAAACAGTAACATCACGTATTGGCCATAAATTATTTTCAAGTTATTATGAATATCCAATGTTAAGTGAACCATTTCCCAATGAATCTTCAGCAACAACAGATATGCAAATTTTTTGTATGAAATTACATTCATTTTGTAATATACAATTTGTATTAAAAACAAATAAATATTTAATATTGATATCAAAATGCCCAGTGGAATGGTGTAATAGTGTTGCTAGTAATAGCAATTACAGTAATACTAGTAGTAATGATGTAATAAATAGTACAACATCATCATTGCCGCCATTAACATTAACAACTACAGCAGCTGCGACAACAACAACAGTAGCATCCTCAACAAAAATGGACACTACAAAAACAATAACAGATATGGAATCAATAACAGTAATTAATTCAAAAGAATCAGTTATTGATAATACCTTTACATTTAATAATGATAATATAAATAATAAAACTCATACTTCATCATCTGATGTAATATCGATTATTAATACAAATAAAAATAGTAATACTAATATCAATAATAGTGCTAGTGTTGTTGGCATACTTAATGGTAAATATTTTCAATTTAATGCAGTTAATAAAAAATATACAAATAATCGAAAAAATAATAAAATATCAATGTCATCTGGTTCATCGTCGCAATCATCATCATCAGCGTCACAATTCTCGTCGTCAATGATGACAACATCAGATACAACAACAAGTAAATTGATGAAACAAATTAATTCATTTGAATGGACCGTATATAGTTTAAAAATGCCAGATGCAATACGCTTAGCTGACGATTTAGAAATGTCAGCTAGAGAAACATTAAAGAATGGTAAATCAATATTTATAAAAAGCAATAATAATATCAATGATGATTGTATGAAATTACATTATGGTGAAGATGAAAATAATGATGTTAATAATACAAATTTGATAAATAATTTTGATAATACAATAAACGATTTGAATTATTTAATAAATGATATTAATAGTTTAAATGTAACACAAGCTAAGTATGATTTGGTATATGAGTTATTAACCGAAGCAAATATAATACTACGATTAGCCAAAAATTTAGATATCAATTATAATGAAATTTATTTAACAAAAATTGATGCAATGTTTAAAAGAAATTGTAAATTTTTAGCTGATATTATAATACAGTAAGTAAAAAGTTATATAAATTTTGATATACTTGTTTTCTACGTACATTCTCTTAGATGTATCATATGAGGTGATAGAGTATTATTCAAAAATATTTGTAATTTTCTAATTAAAATCAATTTTGAAATTTACAATTTTAAGCCCACAATACTTTTGAATAATACTTTTAATTTAAGCGATGAAAATGTGAATAAATGTATTATATTCTTGATGAGAAATTTCAGTACGTATTTTCTTTTTTTTAGGTTAGATAAAGAGGAACAATACGGGGAAGCAATCGGTTATTATAGAATGAGCGAGACGTTACCGCAAATTATATATGAAACATATTTTAATAATTTAAAAATTCAATCATCAGATTATTTAACTGCAAACAATATTGAAAATAATAAAAATAAAATGATTGGTTTAACGCATACAATGAAAACAATTTTAAATTGCTTTGCTAGAAAAAGACCAGATAGTGATTTTTTATATGAAATGATAATGCCAATATTACAAAAAAATTTGCCAAAAGATATTAATAATGACGATATATTGAAGTTCTTCAATATGAAGACTATAGAATCTTCGTCATCATTATCAAATAAAGATTCAGAAAACATAGAATTATCAGTGATAGAAATTTCAAAAACATCACACGATACTATTGTCGAATCATCTGTATTGGATGAAAAAAAAAAGAAAGATATCAAGGACACAGAATCAAATTTAGGAATAAGTAAATCGGATACAGTAAATAATGACGAAATAAATGCAATGATACCATTTGGTTTTGAATTATTTCGATATTTTTATGTGTATGACAGAAATTCATTGGGTGTATTAGGTCTAAAATCTATGCCATTTTTAGATTGTAACATTGATAATTATATATTATATCTAAGTTCAAATGATATATCAAGGTAAATAAAATAATTAATATTTTTCATAACATAAGTTATATGTTAAAACATTTTTGTTTTCTTTTAATAACAGTAATCACAACGAAATGTTATTATATTCACTAACATTAAGCCGTATGAAAAAATATGAAGAATCACTATTACAAATAGAAAAAATGACAAGACATCAATTATATTTATCTTTGAAATTCGCTTGGCATATAATATTTGATGATAATTTTAATCCAGATAATTATAATGATGAACAATTTTCGGAATTTACTGAACGCATATTATTTAATACAAGTAAAACGTGTTTAATTGAAGCAATTAGTGATGTTTTCTTATATTATTTATGTACAACAAATAAACTTCGGATTAATTTTATAATTAAATTGTTTGTTAATTATTTTGCTTTACATGTTGAAAATTATAATATTATAAGAAATAGTAGTAAAAATGATAACAAAACAAATAATTTGATAATTAATAATAATGATATTGCAAGAAAAATTTTTGAAACCATATTAAGTTGTTACTGTCATGATTTCTTACAATCCGAAATTAATGATATTGATAATATAATACCATCATCAACGAATAATAACATTATGTTAAGTTATTTTAATAATTCGAAAAAAATTACAACAACAGAAGCAACTTCATTACCATTATCACCACAAAATAGTATCGATAATCCAGATGATTCAACTGATAATATTTTAATAAATTATTTTAAAATAAATAATCACACAAAACATAATTTGAATTTTATTAATTGTAATAATAATAGTAATGTTATTAATTTAAATAACATAAATGATAATAATTACGGTAGTGGTAGTCCTAGTTCAAGTAATAATATACAAACACAACAACAACAAGCAAAGGATATTATTAATTACAATATAATAACACAGAATTTAAATTATAATAATAATAATAACAACGTTTTATTAATGAATATAGAACAACCAGAAATAAAATCTCTTATATTATTACTTAGATTATATTTAGGTAATTTGGCAACAAAACAAAAATGCAAATTAAATTCCAATTATCCAATAAATAATAAAACTGTTTTAAATGATGATAACATTAATAATATTGATGAAAGTATAATAATAACAAGAATACAATATATTGATGAGTTGATTAATTTATATGAAAAAAATAAATTAGCGACTATAAAATTATATAAAAGGTCAATTTTAAATAATAATTACAATGCTAATAGTAATAATAATAATAATAATATTAATAATAATAACAACAATAATAATAAAAATAATAATAATATCAATAATAATAATAGTAATAATAATAAAAATAATAATTTAAATAGCAACAATAACAATAACAATAAAGTTTTCAATTTACAAAATAATAAATTAAATTTATATACAAACGATTATGAACCAATTCCCGAAATTTTACCAAATTACAATTTACTACAAAAATTAAATATTTCCAATAATAATATTAATAATGATAATAATAGTAACACAAATAATAATAGTAAAAATAATAAAATAGATAATATTGATATTTTAAAAAATATTAACGATCATATAAGACCTATTGCATGCTTAAATGAGAGACCAAATTATTTAAATTTTATGGAACCATTTAAAAAGGAACATTTTAAAAATAATTATTTTATTGGGCATACTGATGAAATTGTTATGTGGACTTTAAAAATTCAAGTAAGAGAACTACACTAAATAACATAATCAAGCTAACATTTACTTATTATATTTCTTTTGTTTTAATTTTTTTTAGTGCTTATTAAATTCCATTAAAACAAATTGTATTTTATATGATTTCCTATTATTTATTCAAAAAAATCCTCATTTAACTGGTATTGACAGTTTTATATCAATATTATTACCAATGGATTCGGCTATAAATTTTTTAACAATTGTTTATCCAGAAGTATTATATGAATATGGTAAATGTTATAAAATTTTAAATGATGATTTTCGTGCAATATTTAGAACATTAATAAAAAAAATACGTGAATTGATGACAGAAAAGCAATCGATAATAACAACAAACAAAAATGTTTTTAGTTATGAAAGCGGAGACCAAGAAAATCAAACGAAAATTGAAAATGAAAATATTAATAAGTCATTAAAATATATTGAACATCAAATTGAAAAATATCAAAAAGTTTTAGATGGTGAGTCTCGAAGATTTGTAAAATTAAAGCAAACAAAAATTCACAAAAAAAAAAAATGAATGTATCGAACTTAATTTTTTTTCATTTCAGAACTGCTTCATAGTTTACATAATGATCGTTCGTTCGAATCGTTTTTAAATTGTTTACCAATTGAAGAGGTTTCGATTTCTGGTAAGTTTGTTATTCGTAAAACATCAAAAGAATTGATATCAGAAATTCATGATACTAATAATACAAATGAAATTGATAATGATGATAAAAATAATATTAATGGTGTTGAAGAAAATATCAGTGAAAATTTAACAGAACCATTGAACTTAGCATTACAACCAGAAACAACGATCACTGCAACAGGTGTAACGAAAACAAAATCATTGCGAATGACAACAAATCCAAAGCAAACAATAAATACTAAAAATGCAAATATCTCAAGCGGAACGCAAACAATAACTGAATATGTTATGGATAATGTTGATGAAACAAATCTATTTCAAGTTTTTCTAAGAAAATGTGTGGCAAAACAACGTGTTGAAGCATTGCAAACAATGATAGAATCAACTGGTAAACAATTATTTGAAGCAGCTAAAAATTCACAATTAAATTTAAATTGAGTTTTATTTGAAAATTTTTCAAATTTCGCGGAAATTACAAATCCTCAATTATTTGATTTAGCATTAATAAATAATTTGAAATGTTTTTTATTGTTCAATAGATTTAGAGAAATTGTATATGATCTCATAAATTTGATCATCAAAAAATGAAAACCCAAATTAAATGATCTCTGATATTGTTGAAACTTTCTTAAATTGAATCGAAATATAGCAGTCATGCTGAAAATTTCTAATAAATACTCTTTGTATAAAGTGTTTCAACAAAACATAGAATGTACAAGTAAGATCGATAGAGCGTTAAAAATAAATTTGAATTTTTAAACGGTTTGCTTTGAATTCCGATCAAATCCACATATGGTTGTTTTTTAATTGTATAGTAGTATCTTAAAATTACATTTATTTTAAAATTACATAAACATTTTCTTGGTATACAATTAAAATTTTTTTTTTAATTTTTTGTAACAACGTTTTGTAGATTTGGAGTGTTTTGTTGAATTATTAATTTCAATCCATTAGATTCATCTTGAAATGAAAAACTTATATTTAGAGGATTATTTTTGAACTTTTAAAATGCTTTTTAAAGTTAATTTTTTGCTTAATCTTATAATATATTCTATTTTAAATATTTTGATTACGATGCAAAATGTAATTTTTATATTGTTTTTTATGTAAAACAGTAATTATGATTATAATAGTATTTTTTTATATTGTTTTAATAAATTATTTATTTAAATTACATATATATAATTATATGTATATTAATATATTATGTAATGTTTTATTAATATAATTATGTAGTTTATGTAAGCATATATAAGCATATTTTAACTAATTAATCATCTTTTAAGCTTTGACATACCATAATAACATATTTATTTAAAATTCAAATAATATTATTTTATTAAAAATTAAAAATATGACAATATATTATGAACATACAAACTATATGTCTATATAATGAACGCTATAAATCGTCTAAACACGTTAAAGATATGAATACCAAAGAGTAAAAAAAACCAATTCGAATTTCCCAATTTTTTTTTAAATAAGAAACGAATTTTGACTTAATAAAACAGAATTTTTTTTATTTAATTCAATCTTAATCAATTTGTTTATTTAATTATCAAAGTATTTTTTTAAGCGGACTCACCAGCACGAATTATAGCAGCCTCTTTTAATCAATTTAAATTTAAACTTTTGTAATGGTTTATTGGGAAATATAAACTGGATATAAATGAAGAAATAAAGGACAGGAGATCATTAGAACTTTCTTATGTTTTTTCTTCATGTTTTGACTTTAGGTCCTATGATTAGCGAATTTGCCTAAATTTTAGGCGAATGAGCTGTGAAATCTGCAGAATGAAAATTCTGTGTGACAAGTTTGGCGAATGAAACCAAAAATTAATTTAATACACAAGTGTTTTTTTTATTGGATATTATAGCATTGAAAAGTTTATGAAGATATGAAGATCAAAAAATACAGAAATAAAAGCTGAATTGCGATTTGTCGCAGTGAGTAAATTGGAAAGAGGCTTGGATGCAGGGAGGTTGAGTGTAGTGTCTAAGAGTAGTAAAGAGCAGTAGTAACTCGTTTAGAGAAAGATAAATATAGTATCAAAAAAAAAAATTTTGTATGACATACGAACTATGAGTTAGTGAAACTATTCAAAAACGAGTTTAAAAATTTAAAAAGTGATTTCTTGTCGCTTAAAACTGAACTTAACCTGTTAAGCGATTAGTTTTTCTTACTCAGGTCGATTTACTGTGCAGAATTAATTTCAAGCGAAGACGCGAATTTACGAAATTTTGTTAACAGGGAAATTTTCGTTTTTTACTTAACTTTAAATTTCATAGCAAATGCAATTTTCTTTTTCTGCATGACGCACATATACGACATTAACTAAAAAATTAAATTTTGAAATTGACGTATATATACGACATAATCTCTTAACAGGTTAAAGAAGAGCTCAATGAAACTTAGTAAGCAAACGAACGCATTCAAGTTTTGGAACAAGAAGTTGAAAGTTTAAAAAAGATAATAGAAGAGAAGGAAAAAGAGCAAAAAGCTGAAAAAGAAACCAATGACCAAACGGGAAGAAAAAACAATTTAATAGTTGGAGGTATAAAAGAAAACGAAGGAGAAAAGCTACTAGAAATAGTGCTGCATTTTTTCAAGGCTGTAGTAAATGTTCCCATTTCTAAGGGCTACGTGAACTTTGTGAAAAGAATTGGTAGAAAATCAAACGATACTGAAAAGAAAAATCCAGCGGTATTAGTATCATTGGTATCACAACTAAAAAAAAAAGAAATATTGGGCAATATAAAAACACTTGAGGGCTGGAATTTTTATATGAAAGGCAGCTATACAACTAACCAAAGAACAACACACGCAAAATTAAACGGAGCAAAGTAGCAGTTGATAGCAGAAGGGAAGGAAATAATTATTAAATGAAAAAATCTCATAGTGGACGACAAGAAAATTGAGTTTAGTGAAAGTAATTTAAACAAAGAAAAAGAAAATAACAAAACACTTAGATCACCAGAGGAAGTTAATAGTATTACACCTAAACATAAGCATAATAGAGAGACGACAGATACTAAAGCAACTCGGTAAACCGAAACAAGACCTTTGGATCAAACGATAACAACATATAGAACGAATTTAGCCACGAATTTAATCAACATATAAAAAAAAAGAAAAATGGAAGAATATTGGGAAGGCAACTGAAATCCACCCCATTGTAAACATCCCAAGTAATTCATCAACATTGCATAAAAACATTTCCATGAAAGATAGTATCACAATATCAATAAAAAAGATAAAACACAATAAGAAAATAGGTACTTGGAACATGAGAAGTCTTTACCAAGAGGGAAAACTAAAAAACCTAGAAAAAGAAATAGAACGTTTAAAAATTGATATCATCGGTATTAGTGAAATCCACTGGAAAGACTGTCGATTTATCAACAGGTGAAAACTATTATACATATTCCGGTGACAAAAAAGAAAAGGTTCATCGCAATGCATCGGGTTTGCTTTTTGATTAGTAAAGGATTGAAAAACGCAGATCAGACTAGAAAAGAATTTTTTGAATTTCATTCAAGTTTATGAAGTAGGAGCCTTCAACTTGTGAAGAAGAGGTAATAGAAGTATTTAATAAAAAAATCGAAGAAATACTAGATACACTAAAGAAAGAAGGTATAACAATATTACTGGGAGATTTTAATGCCAAAGTAGGTAATATAAAGGTGAACTATGTCACAGGTGATTATGGATTGGGGTACCGCAATAAAAGAGGAGAGAAACTAATCAATTATTGCATAGACAAAAAATTTACAATTACCAACACCACTTTTCAACAACCAAAACGCAGATTATATACATGGGTGTCTCCTAAGAGCAGGAAAGAAAAAATTATTAGAAATCAAATTGACTATGTAATTATAAATTCAAGATTCAAGAATGCGGTAAAAAATGCAAGAACATACCCAGGGACAAATATTCAATCTGATTGCATTCCATTTCTGGCTACAATTGATGTAAATATAAAAAAACCTGGAAAGAAAAGCAGAACCAATAAAGGTGCCAATGTAAAACTCTAAGAGAATGAGCAGATCAATGAAATTCAAAAAGAAAAATTAATGAAAGAATGTCAGAAGTTAAAAACGAAATAAAAAATGAAAAAGATATAGATAAGATGTGGGAGTCGATCAAATAAATAACACGGATATCGAAAAAGTTAATAACATTAAATATCTAGGAGAAATAATTAATCAAAATGCATCCACAACAGACGAAACTACATCAACACTAGCCCAAGCAAGAACGAAGTTTATAAAAATTAGCTATATCTTCACCAGAAGCACAATAAATCTGAAAATAAAATTGAAATGGTTGAAATATTACATATGGCCAATGCTACTATATGGCGCTGACTTTTGGACAATTAACAAAAGAGAAGAACCAAAAATACATGCCTTCGAAAGGTGGTCTTATCGTAAAATTTTGAAGATAAGTTGGATCCAAAAAGTGAAAAATGAAGGGGTGTTAACAAGATTACAAAAGCGAAGCGAACTTTTGAACATCATCAAAACAAGAAAGTTAGCTTATCTTGGCCACATTATGCGCTCACAAAAGTACCAGCTGCTGAAATTAGCAATGCAAGGGAAATTTTAGGCAGGAGAAGAAAGAAAAAGACATGTGCTATTAATCTAACCAACTGGCTGACCGCAAGACATTAGAAAACTTACCGCAAGTTATGACGTTAACCAAACATATGTACATATTTTGTTTTTGCCGTTTTGCAAAAACAATTGAATTTCGTTTTGTACATGCTTAATTGAACTGACTTTACAGATAGATTAGATTTTTCCATTACATCACTATAAAATGCTATAATATCCAATAGAAAAAAAACACTTGAATTATTTTGATTTTTGATTTCATTTGTGATTCATCACACCGAATTTTCATTCGACAGATTAGTCGAATTATTATTTAGGCGAATGCACCAATCATAACACCAAAAGTTTATATTCGGCAAAAATTTCATTCACTTCGCCGATCACAATAAGGGCCGGGCCTATGATGGCCGGATCTCGCCTCAAGTTTTACAAATAATTTACGAATTGCCTCTTTATTTCAATTCAACTTAATCATCCAATCTCAAATAAGCTCATAAAGAGTGTTATTTAGTATTCTGCTCATATTTAAAAATTTGTCTTAATAGTTTGTGCCTAGCTATTAAGACAAATTTAAGGGGTACAGCATGATTTCAATCTATTAAAAGGTAAAGTTTGTTACCCTATGTTTAGCAGGATCTGAGATTTCGTCGGACCAGACATTTCCGGAGATGCCTTTATGAAAGTGTAAAGTTTCTGGGGACCCTTTTTTTGTTTACCTATTCGTTTAGAAAACAATGAAAATGTAACGAACAACTTTAGTTTTATTATATTTCATATTGAGATAATTAATACAATTTTTAAATATACGATTTTTATGTATTTTTTTTTCTTTTATAAATATTTTCAATAACATTATAACAAGTACATCATAGGTTTTTTTATTTTATTTGTATTTTAATTAATGAACAAAAAAAAAATAAAGGAAAACAAATAAAAAAATTTAAACTTAACAAAACAACACTTTTTTTCCTTAAATAGTTCCTTTTATGTACGATTACATCTTTTTTTGATGAAATTTTAGATGCTAAAACTAAGTTATTAGCCTGATTGTGTATATCCTCCTTTTTTCAATAATTTTTTTTAGTGTTGAAAGTCACTAAATATATAAAATTTTTTAAATTTTCAATTGAATTGAATCAGTAAATATTTTTAAATACAAGCACTGACATAACAAACACACTTCTCTTTTTCTCACCCGGTGAGTAGAATAAAAGTGTTAAAAAGGTGAGTTACACTATATTTTTTTTTCAAATATATTTTTATTTCAATTTCATAAAAATTTTATTAAACCATAATATTAATTTCCTTCTTAAACTATATAAATATTGCAAATATCAAATGATTATAAAAAATTCAACAAAATATCATTATTTGACATAGGAAACAAAAAAAAAGAAACTATAATCTTAAACAATTTTTTTTTATCGTATATCGTATGGTTTGACTAAAAAAATAAATTTTTAAAACCGAAAGAAGAAAAATTCAATTTAGATAATTGAATTACTTGCGATATTTTGATTTAATAAACCTAGCCGTTGTTTTTGTTTACGCATTTCTGTCATATGATCTTTTAATTCAGTTAACTGTTGTGATAAATTAGTAATTAACATTTTTGTATCTTCTAAACATGTCTGCAAATGACGTAATTCAATTTGTTCACCTTCAGCATCACTTGTTGCCAATGACATTGCACGTAATCTCGGAAACCAATCTAAATTACATGCTTTTACCATATGATATACATATGATTCAGGACCAGTAAATTCAGTTGGATCTTTCACTTTAACCAATACAATAAAATATAAATAGTGCCACATATTATGTTCAGATTTTATATGTTCTTCAAAACTAATTGTTTTGTTATCAAACGCTGAGCGATTTAGGCCGCATATAAAACATGTTGATTTTAATATCAATTCTTTTTGTTGTTTTTCACTTCTTAAATCAGCAAATGTATCAATAATAACACCAAATATTAAATTTAATACAATAATGATTACAATAAAGAAGAATAATAAATCATATATCACTCGTGCAGCAAATAATTTTTCCTTAAATAAAAAAAAAGGAAATAAAAGAGCTTGTCAATTGTAAAACAACTGTTACAACAGTAATGAGGATGCTACATACATGTAATAAGATTTTATATTCTAGATCTATAAAAATTTGCCATTAAATTTGGCAAAACAATTTTATTACCTTACTTGAAGGGTTACGTAATATGTCGCCGATTCCTCCACCATTACGTAATCCCTGATTTAATGTAGTTACAATACACATAACAAGTGAATCACATGCACGTTCTTTTGTTTCACTACTACTATCGCAATTTGTGGCGGCCACTGGACATTTTCCTGTTAATGATGGAATATTCGATGTTAAAAATTTTTCTTTATCACATTTTTTTCCATAGCAATAACCATTATAATCATCATTATCAAGTATATCATTTAATGCTGGATCAATGGTTGATATTTTTTGTGGAATTTCATTTAAATGATTCATTAGTGGTTCATCATCTAAAAAATTAATGATTCATTAGTGATTCATAAGATGAATATTCAAATTTTTTTTTTTAATTCATTCGTAAATACCTGTTAAAGGTTTTAATTCCTCATCAACTGGTAATAAGAAATCATCTTTGAAAAATATATAACCAATTATTGAAAATAAGTACACTAAAATAAGAGCTAAAACAGCAGTCAAAACAATTGAACGACCATTTCGTGTTACCGAACGTATAACATTCAAAAGAGTTTCCTCTCGGTAAACAACATCAAAAAGCTAAAATCGAAAATTTTTAATATTATATAACTATTTTATTACATAAATTAAATATAATTTTACATAAAACATTTATTTATAATTTAACTACTTACCAAAATCGAATAAAAAAATGGATGAAAGAATAATCCACATAAACAAAAGAATATATATAAAACGTGATATAAAATTTCTAAATCTGTTATTATTTTCAAGAAATTCTTTTCTAATGTTCCATTATTACCCATTATACTAATAACATGTATTGCCTTTAAACCAACAGTTACAGTACCTAATAACCATAATGATGGTTCTGGTCCAATTGAAAATATTAATCTTAATATAATTGAACCAATTAAAGTTCGTATTCCTGATTCTCTTGGCAATGTTACAACAATTACAAATGATAGTATCATAATAGTCCACAATAACATTGATAAATGAGTACTGATTTCTAGAATTAGCGAAAAATACAAACAATGTTTCAGTATATAATATAAAAATAATCCAAATTAAATTAATTTTTTTTGCTATACTATTTAATACTCGATTAATTTATTAAAAAATATTCAATATTTTCGTTCTATCTAATTTAATCACGTTAAATTATTAAATTTTTACAAATATGCAGTTGCATATAATTACTAAAACAATGAATTTTTATTGTAAAATATATGTAGTTATATACAAATATACAATTGGATAGAACAACTAAAAATAAGAAATTTACAGAATAAATACAATATGCAAAATATAATTTTTAGTATAAGTATATTGACATGTTGCAAAATTAAAAATTATTAAAAAATGAAACACATTATTAAAACATGGAAACAAATATAAATAAAAAAAACTCAGAATCTAAATTAATTAAACTTTAAATGTTCCATTACATTTTTATTTGATAGCAAATACTAATCTTGTACATTTATATTTCAAATACCAAAAACTATTAATCAAATTTATTAAATTCTAATTTAATTTTCCTTCATAACAAAAAATAACTAAAAACATGTGCGTCATTTTAGAAAAACACAGGCCCAAATTATGTTTTGTTTTGTAATGAGCAAAATTATGATAATTCTATTCTATAATTCTTAATTATATTGAATATATAAATTTGTATAATTATAGCAACTGAAATTTATATAATTCCAGCATTGATTAATCCATTTTTGAAAATTTATATAACAACGTAGCAACAAACTTAAATTTATCTTATAAACTTTGAATTTTTTCAATTCGTTTTATATTTTTTAATTTCAAAAACAGAACTTACGAAAATATTGAATATTTTGCAATAACAAATTTGTAATTAAAATTAAATTGAATAAGTTAGTTAAATGTATGAAAAAATAACTTAATATTTATTTTCTTTTTTAGTTTTTGTAATTCAAACATTTTACCTGGAACACTATTTTTAAATGGATAACAAAATGCCAAAATTAAATTAATTACTACAATGCAATTGAATAGAATATTACTCCATAACGACATAAAACTACTAACCCAAAATAGAACTGGTTGTCCTAAAAAATAATAATAGCACATATATTATCGAGATAATATCGAAGCAAATTATATTTATCTTATTTAATATTTTTTTTTTATTATTTATTTACCTCTTAATTTTTTTTGCCAATTCATTTCATTAAATAGTTCTTCTGTTTTATCAAAGAAATCAGCAACTTTTGACCCTTGATCATCTCTTTCAGCTGTTGTGAAAACCTTTTTCTTTGTTTCTTCTGTTAGATATTCACATATTTCTGGTATTGGAAATACAATTTGTTCTAATGTTCTATCATATCGTACAATCTGTTCAAATATAAACATATAAAAAAAAATAAACAAATTAATAAGAAATAGTAAATGCATTTATAATTTTTCTATCAATTTTTATTTAAACTTACTTCAATTTGAGCTGTATGTGTTGCATAATGTAATAATGCTTCATTCATTTTTTCTCCATAATTTTGCATTGAATTTTCTGTCATTTTTAATAATGCTGATAGTTCTTTATTATGCTGCGATAACTGATGACACAATATATATATATTATGCCCAACTTCTTTTGGTTTAACACCGGTATCATCATCTTGAGTATATTCACCATGATTAAATACATCATTATCATCATCGTTATCATCAACATCTTCTTGGTGATACGCTTTACATGCAACATCAATTAATTGTTTTGGATTCATATTATACATAATACGATCAGCATTTTCATTATCATGTCGTGATTCCATTATAGCCAATAACAATTTTGATGCATTATTTTTTAATTCTAATACTAAATCCATACGGTTTTTACCTAATGGATTAATATCATTTAGTAATAATGCTTTAACAATATCTAAACCATTAGATTCATGTGTTGCAATACATGTTTGATTATCATGACACGGTCCTTGACAATATTCAGTTAAAGTTTCTAATGTTTGATTAATTAATGCTACATTATTTTCATTAATATATAAACCTAATAAACCCAAACCACCAGTTGTTGAACCACATATACAATCTAAAAACATTAAGGTTTCGGATACAAGATTATAATTTGTTTTATTGTTTTGATTTCTTAATAAATTTTGTAAATCTTGATTATGATTTTCACACAACAGTTGTAAAAATCGTAATATTGGTTGCATAACTAACACTTTTACTGATAATTTATTACGATCATCTTTATTTTTATGCCTCTCTAATTTTTCAGCTAACATATCTTCTAATGCTGACCCAATATTCATCATTGATTGTTGATCTTCACCCGGGGTTATGCTACGTGCGTTGTTGTATGACTTTGCTGTTTCAATACCAGCATTATTTAACTCATCACGTAATTCATCGGTTATAACAATACCATTTGTTTTGACACCATGTTTGCGAGAATTTTTATCAAAATCTTTAACATCTTGCTTTGATTCGTGTGCTTTTGCTGCAATATCTGTAGTGTTCACAGATACAGTGGATTTAATTTCATGTTGTGCATCTTTCATTTTTTCGAAAAATACCTAAAACAATAATATTTATAATAGTTCTTATTCTTTTTTTTTTTGTTTTATAAAATCTAACCTTAAAAAAAGTCTGGTTTAAGTCGCCGCTCAAAAATTTTTGAAACATTCCCTTTTGTATTATTGGATTACCACCTTCTAATAATGCAATACCTAATTCAACAGCTTCCACAAATATTGATGGTGAATGTACCGATTTGATAACCAATTCTACCACTAAATCAGATGCACCTTCTCTATCTAAATGATTTTGAACTTCATGTAATGTCTTACCAGCTCTTTGTAAGTATTTTGCTCCCGGTCCATGATATATTATTTGTGTTGCAATTTTATTATCAATCGCTTGATCATATGTTGGAGGAGATAATGATGATGACGATGTTGAAGATAATGTAGCAGATGTTGACATTAAGTTGGATGATACTGATGCTATTAAACGATTTGTTGTTGCATTCGGTGAGATTATATTATCATAATTTTGATTGTCAGTATTTATATTATTTGGCTCAAAGTTATTAACATTATGAACATCAATATTATTATTTATTACTGATGATGATCGCACTAAATTTGTAGCATTGTTACCGTTACTACCATTTAAGTTAAATCCAAGACCGACATTTGCTAAATTCTCATTATTATTATTTGCTGAATTATTTACGTTATCATTACTACTGTTAATATTGTTATCTATTACTCCAATTATTCCACTATCATTGGGAGAGGAGATTCTACTTCCCGCCCTCATTCCATTAATTCCTCCAATTGCTCCGCCAATACCTACGTTCGATATTAATAGTTCCGATGCTGATGTATTGCCAATACTATTATTATTTTGTTGTTGCTGTTGTTTTGTTGATAAATAACCTTTACCAAAATAACGAACTAATAACGTATTTCGTAAATTATCACCTTTTTCACCATATTCAACATCAATTGCCATCATTTCACGTAACGTACGTAACACTTTAACACACAATTTTTCTTCTTTTTCTTCTAATAATTTTTCAGTATGTTTTATTAAACGTTGAATAAAACCACCAGTTTCGCAACGCTTACGAGATTCAGTTCCATATGGAAATAATAATTCTGATCTATACAGAATATCAACTAATAATGACAATTCAGCTTCAACTAATGGTTTTAATTGATCTTCCAATAATGATACAATATCTTGTAATCCTTCAATAATACTACGATCTTCTCGCATTAATTGTGATACAGAACGTTCAGTTTTTGTTTGTTTTGTTGCCTTAACCCATTTCGATGTATAATTTGTTAACGTTGATGTTATTGATAACTGACGTTCCAATTCAGATGGAATTGTAATGCCACGGTTTTTAGCTGATTCAGTTAAACTACGTACGCAATTTTCGACTGTGAAACGTTCAGCATATGATAAATATTTTATTTCAGAAAATTTATATATAGCATTTAATAAATGAATAAAAATATTTTGTCTTGCTAATACAACAGTTGTTTGATCAGAAAATGGGCTATTGAAAAATGTAGTTAATACTGTTAACACTCCATTTAATACATAATTATGTAATGATTTTTTTTTATTCAAATTTTTTTGTTGTAATTGTTGTAATTGAGACTGAAACTGCGATTGATTTTGTACTATTTCAGGTGTTAGTGATGAATTTTGTTGTTGTAACAATAGTTGGTGTTGCTGTTGTTGTGTTGTTATTGATAGTTCACATACATGATTAATATCAACTAAAAATGATTTCTCAAATAAATTCCACATGTGATTCGATGAAAAGATTTCTTTCATTTCAACTTCTGTATCAATGTAACAATGATTCAAAAAATCCACATAAGCTTCTTTTATTTCGCAATGACAGTCAGGATGAGATATAACGTTGACAATATCATCTAATGATAATAAATTATTACATTTAATTTCTGTAAATATATTTTTTCCCATTGTGCAACACGCTAACAATTTAACTAACTCTACATGATATTTTAATGGGCTGTCTTCATCTAATGGCAAATCTTTTTGGTTTCTCATCATATCGACAAATTGAGCAAATGATGTTTGATCATTATAAAATACAAGAACATCTTCGCCAGCATTTATTAACTAAAATTATATTATAAAAATTGAAATGAATTTATGAATTAAAAAAATTAATACTGTGTTTAATGTAAAAATGCAATGAACTAAAGATGAAGTTTTAGCAAATAACAAATTGTCATTTCTTTAAAAAATTTTTTTCGTTCAATTTAACTTACCTCTTGCATAACCATATCCTGACTCCTTCTAATAAATTGATTTTCAGCTTTAACAATTGTTTGTAAAAACTTTAAATAAACAACATGTCTACCATGAATTTCAATACAATGTACAAAGTGTTGTACAACTTTTTCACTAACTTCGTTGCACAATGCTAAATTATCTTTAAATATTGAGCATACAGTTTTTGCTTCTAATATCTGAATAAAAAAAGTTAGCAGACCAATTTATATAAAAAAGGTTATATATTTTATATAAAATACGTACACCTGGATTTAAAAATAAATCTAAATGATTATGTAAAAGAACTTGATTCTGTTGATTATCCAAACAAAAATGCTGCAAAAATTCATGCGCCAAACACATTAGTTCCTTCATTAATAAATCATCTTTTTCATCATAAGGATTTTGTAATAAATCTAATATAACAGTATGTACACCGACGTTTCTTAATAATCGTTGTTCATGTTTCCTAGGCTTAATATTATCACCTGAAAAATGGAGAAAATTTTCTTTTAAAAAAGATAGACAAAATTCACATAATAGATTAATAATTGTAATAGAAATAATTAGCCATACATATTTTATTAGAAGCATTACTTGAAGTGACGTTATTCAAAAGTTGATGTTTTCGAAATTTATTCTAAATGATTCAAAAAATTATAGAATTTTTAATATTATGATCTTAAGTGATGCCTCTAAGAGAATATAAGGGATGTAATGTCTCATAATTTATGTAATTTTAACTTAGAAATCAGTTTAGAAATAGACAAACAAAAATATTGGCTACATTTGGTAATTATTACTTTTAGTAATAAGTAAAAAAAATTTATGTAAAAAACGTACAAACATTATGTTTATATTTTATGTAAATAGTTTTCAGCAACAAACTTATCACAAAGACTTCGAAAATTAAATGTTTTTAAAATCTTTGCTTACCATTAGTTATGCAATATTTATTCATTCGAATTAAAATGTCTTTAACTTTCTTATATTCGCTCCACTGATATGTATTCAAAGACGCTTTATATTCGGCTGTTAATTGACCAGTTTCACCAAATGTTAAATCTATTACTTCTTCTGTATTGGTAGCCTCTGCATCTAAAAGTAATTGCCGAGATAAAATTATTATTTTCTACATAGTTATTAGACTTTTATAAATATTATTTACTTGTTGTCCCAATTTCATCATTTGCTTTAGATTTATAAACCCATAATTCTGACTTTTCAACACTTTGCCTTAATATATCTAAATCTGATTTTATTTGTTTATACGATTCAACATCGCTATCTGAAACAAGTAATTGCACTTGACGAAATGCATGTAATACTTCTTGTCGTTGACTGAAATGTCTAAATAATAAATGTAATGCACCAGATACTAAAGGCGGGTAATCATGCATAATTAAATGTAATAGAACACGTAAAAAAGTTCTACCACCTTGACCATCTAAATCTAAGCTAGTTGATTCAACATCACAACCAAAAATTTTTTCAGCTTGTATACCAATTAGCTCTAAATCAATATTCGTTTTTTTAGTTGTTCCGATTGGAGTAGAATTTGTTGTTAAATTTGCTGAATTTTGTACAGTATCACGATCATTTAAATTTCCACTTATATTTTCAGTTTTGGGTGATATACCTGTGGCCGATGTCATGTTAAAATTTGTTGATGTTGATGTTAATTTTGTTAATGTAGATGTAGTATTATTTATTGTTGTTGCTGTTGAAAAAGTGCTAGTAGCAGTATTAATGTTAGTATTAGTAGAAGCTGCTGCTGCAGCTGCTGCTAATTCAGATGGTAATGATATTGTTTCATCAAATTCACGTTTAAAAATCGATAATAAGCAACTTATTCTATAATCAAGTCGTACATCTAATATAAATTGTAATATTTCAATTATTTTTAATTTTGTATCCATAACTAATGGGAATTCTTTCATTAATAATGTAACTGATTTTCGGTGTTGTATATTTTTTGTTGGAGACGTTATAGCTGTACCAATTGGTCCTAATGCAAGTGATGTCATAACTGTATTCATATCACTAATTGATCTTAGAACACCACCTTCAGCTAAAACAAAAAATTGTTAACATAATTTCAAATTAAAAACTAAAATTGATTATTGATAATCTGCTTTGATTTTTAATTAGTAAGAAAAAATTAAAATCGTTAAAATAAGAAAATGAACAAGCAAAAATTTTCATTTACTTACCGTCATTTTCTTCTTGTTCATAATCTTTATTTTATATTTAGATTGGGTTAGTATTTTAGATGGAAAAAAATTTCAATTAATTAAATTTTATACTTTTAACTTATCTTGAAAATTTAAAATATATCTAGTAACATGAAAATCAATTTTCACTTACTAAGTGTTCAAGTATACACTAATAACTTACTAGAAAATCTCGCATCACTAGACATTGATGCGTTTGAACCAACACCATCTGACTCAGATAAACAATCTAATATACGTAATAAAGTTTTAGTTAATCTAAGTAAGTCATTCAAACTGTAAAATCCAAAATATATTAAGTCTCTTGCTAATTTTACAACCTAAAATGACAAAAAATGTTTATTGTGTATTACAATTAAATATGTGTATTATTTTTATATTTTTGTGTGAATTACCTCAAAAGTTAACTTATTCTGTTCTTGATCGGTAAATAACCAAACCTTTTCAGCTACATTACATAAATAATTTTCAACAAATGCTATCGTTGTATTAAATCTTACCCGTACAGCCTTTTTATTTGTGTTTGGCTGTTTCTTACAATCGTAACTATAAAATAAAACAAAAAATTGAAATTAATATTTTAATAACACATATAACAAAACACACTAAAAATTTTTATTTAAATATTTACTCTTTAATGGACATTTCTGATGGTATATCCTTCCACAAACGAGCGTATTTAACTGGTGTAACAGGTTCTTGTGGATCACGGTCAACATGTAAATGTAACATTAAGCGACAAAATGATGCTCTCAATTCATATGGCATCGATTCATCTGACATACATCTGTTTAAAAAAAAAATTAAGAAATTTTTTACCTTATATTTGTTATCATTATAAACAAAATTTAAAAATTTCATATATATATATTTTTTTAAATTTTACTTCAAAATTAAATCAATATCTAAATGTGGTGATAAGTTATTCAACGCTAAATACTGACGATTTAAGCACATATTCGAGAATAAATTTAATTGATGATTATAATAATTTAAAATTAAAGATTCTTCTTCAGCTCCATTTTGTATTGCGTTCGTTATGGAAGACATTGAACGATAATCCTAAAAAAATGCAAATTTAAATAATTTATTATTGGTTATTTGAAATTGCAAAATCAAATTCTTATAAAATACCAAATGATAAAATGATAATCCGAAATTATGTAATTTTTGTATAATTTGATTATTTAATAATAATATATAATAATATATTATAAATTATATAATAATATTTTATAATAATATATTATAAACACTTACTGCAGCTTCACCCCACTTTAAGTGAACTTCATATAATTTATTTTGAGAATCATTATTATCTGACTGAGATGATGATGATGATTGTAATACTAAATAATTATTATCATTATTATTATAATTTAATAAATTATTTTCATTTAATTCATCGATATTTTTTGAATTTTGCACATTTTCTGTTGCTGTTGATGACGATGATGATGAAAATGTTGATTTCAATTTTGATAATTGATTATTACATTTAACAACTTTTGTTCCAATTAATATATCAGAATTTTTTGCACTTAAAACACTTTTACATATTAATTCTTGTGTAACAGCAATAGCTTTACGATTTGAAACACATAAATCTGATAAATAATCTAAAAATCTTGAATCCCAATTTTTCATATTTTTACGTACTAAGCCAACAAATGTTTCAATTTCTGCAGCTGTTATATGTTTCTCTAATAGTTTACGATTATTATGTAATAATGCTGTAATTGTATCTTCAGCTAAAATATCATATCCAATTTGTTTTTGCATTTGACCAAAACGTTTTGCAATATATTCCTTTGAAATTTTTTATTGTTGAAGAAATAAAAAAGTTATATTTGAAAAATTAAAATATTTGTTAAAGTAATTTAAAAAAAAATTAAAAAAGCCAAAAACAAACTCATACATCTAAGTGCACTAAAAATTAGTATCGGGAGGAGGTATTTTCCAGTATGTCAGAATGTTAATCTTATAAATTCCAAGCCGTCAGAACGCAAGTGTAATAAATAGCAATATACTTGCGTTGCCAAACCAAATTTCATTTCGTTTTTGTATTTTTTATAGTTGAAATAAATATATAACTGTTTTAAATCTTTGACATAACAGAAAACAACTTTACCATTAACTAATAGTAAATCTAATAATAATAAATAGAAAAATATTGGAGCAACATCACAATTTTCAGTCATTTTCAAATTATAAAATTAATTCAACAACAACGCATTCTATATACAAACCGATTTAGTTTTTGCATTTAAACAAATTTAAATCTTTTTAAAATTTTACTTTATTTAAAAATAAAAATTAATTAGAAGAAAAGAAAACTAAACCAACCAACACATTAAAAAATTAATAAGACATTTTCTCATTATTATTGAAAATCAAAAAATTTAAAAAAAATATATATGTTGAAAAACAAAAAATATCAAACAAATAAACCTTAAGCCAAAAACCAAAATATATTTGTTAAAAATAAATCGTTTACCTTTTTAATTACTTTTTAAGTTAAAATATGGAAATTATGCATGTACAACTCATAGTTTCTCAACTTTTTAGAATACAACATTTATAAGAATAACAATTACACCGATATAATATTTTATAAGTTCTAGTAACAATCAATCATAATTTTTCAAAAAAAAAAAAAAATAATAATAATTAAATGAATAAATAAATAAATTGTAAATAAATTGTAAATCAATTATTATATTTATATTTTCAAAAGTTTAAATTAATAATAAAGTTTGAAATATTACTTTATAACTATTTTAATCTTAAATCGTGGCTATTCTGGAAACTGAGTGTAGAATTATTACGAAAATACAATTAATATAATTAATCTTAAATGAGGTCAATACAACCTTTATAGTTTATTACAAAAAAATAATCAAAATCACTTTTAATTCAAATGTTTTTTTACACATACTATGACGTAACAACACTTAATCTTCATTTTTAAAAATTTAATTTATATTTTTTTTTTAATTTTACAGTTTAAGGTTAAAGTGATTTAAATGAAACCTGGAGCACCGACTTTACTGGTTTTGACGATTTGGATTTCGAAAAAAAATTGTAATCTAGAAAAACCACGATTACAGATTTTAGATAATCAATATATGTTTAACTCTACAATGCTAATAATTTACCTGATTTTTACGATAGTCTTGTTGACTTAAACGTAATATTCTATAACATAAACGGAACATATTTTTGAATGGTGCATTTTTTGGATCACTTAATTCATTTAACTTTAATAAAGGTCCAGTATTATCATTTTTTACTTGAAATGGCTCTTGTAATATACGAAACAATTGCTCTAATATATATTGTTCACGTAATAATTTCTGTCGATCACGATTAGGTTCTTTTATTGTCAATTCTAATGCTTTTGCTTTATTTTGTTCATTTTCTAATCCAGCAATAAAATAAACAATATCTTGTAATAATGATATTAATGATCTTCTTTCATTATTCGATATTAAACCTTGTTTTAATTTTGAACTCATTGTTGCTAATACTTTACATGCATCATTTGCAAAATCTAAGTCACGTACTTCAACTGGTGGTACTGGTATTAATTGAAATGCTTCTTTATCTTCTTTAATTGATGAACAACATACTTTTGACATAACTGGTTTATCACTTTCAACGTCAATTGGTATTGATGTTGCATGTACCCATGTATTTGAACATAAATGCCTTAAACGTACATAACTCGATTGTGGTACTAAACTATCAGCTCTTGTTAATGTTGTTGGATCTAATTCAAAAACTGATGCAATATCATTTGAATATGGTACAGATACTAAACGATATTGTCCAATTTTTGTATTATTATTATTATTATTGTTATTATTATTATTATTATTATTATTATTAATATTGTTATTTAATAAATTTGTTGGTAATGATGTTCCTCCTGATAAATTCGGTGTAATTGTATTTGGTATAATTGCTGAAGTTATTATACTACAATCAAAATTTTCAATTTGAGGTTGAATATGTGCTGCTGTTATTTTATTATTATTTATATTAATTTTATTTATTGTTGTACCATCTTTATTATTTATACTATCATGTATATTAATTTCATTATTATTATTATTAATTGTATAATTATCATTTGAATTAATTATATCTGATTCCAATTCAGCAGCTAAATAATATCCAGTTGCTAAATGTTTAAAGCGATATAATGAATTCCAATGACCAGCACCACCACGACATGAATCATGTTGTACAACTTCAATTTCCCATAATGCCTTACTACTAGTTGCAGCTGTTGCGCTAGTTCTACCAGTTGTTCTTAAAAATACATGTTGCTCTTTTTTATATTCATCCATTGTTAAAAATTTTTCTTGTTCAGCATGAAATAATCTAACGACATCACCACCCTTTAATATATTTTCTTGGTTTTCTTTATGTTCCATAAATAATGTTATTTTCCATGCTGTAGATGAATTTAATACATTGATTTCTTTACAACCGGGATTATCTGGTAGTTCATAATTAGAAGATACATGTAAATTTTGTTGATCAGCATTACATGGATTTAATATAACTTTATCACCAACAACAACATTGTCACCAATTGAACGTAATTTATAAAATGGTGATATTAAAAACCATGAACCTTCATTGCCATTTGCATCCAAATAAACACGTAATGCATTTTTTTCTAACAATGATGGTAAACGTTTATTAACTGTTAAATATTTATTTGATTTTAAATGTAATAATTGACAAACACTTCCATATTGTACCGGTGTACCCAAAAATTTTTTATTGTCTGTTTCATTCGATTTTTTTTCAATTTCAGCTGCATGCTATAAAATACCAAAAAAAGAACTATTGAAAAAAGCTATGTACATGTGTATGTATTTTTTTTTTTTTTTGTAATAATTAGCTGTATTTTTGATAAACTTTGGTAAAAAAATAATTCAAATTATTTAATGAAATTACAATAATTATAGAAAAACAAAAGAAATTTCCAGCTATAAGGGGCTCTGACAGACATGCAATTTTTAGTTTTGCAACTGTTTGATTGCTTATTTATATTCCATAGGTTTATATTCAAGCTAATTCATGCAACTGTAGGGTCGCATTCAATTAAGCAATCAAACAGTTTGCATTTTTTTACAAGCCGATTGTAATTTCTGTTTAACAAAATTGCGCGTGTAACGATTTTGCAATCAAGTAGCAATTGCAAACCAAAAAATTGCATGTGTGCCTGCTCCCTAACTGAAAATAAAAGTATGTAATAATTATACATATGTAGATACTTATGTCCAAAACATTAAGTAATTCGATTCAACTTTTATTTTAAATAACTAAAAAACAAAAAAAAACACAGCTAAAGCAGAATTAATTTTGTTTTTTTTTTTTTCAAACTCTCCAACCTACATGTAAACGTGTTAATAAACTAGGATCTGTGTTTGAATTTGTGCTTTGCTTTGCAGCTTTCCAAAATTGATTTTGTGCTGAATAGCGATTCATAGGACATATTTTTATTAAACAGTCTAAGAATTAAAAAAACGTAAAAAAAGCAAAACAAAGAAAAAGTAGTATTAATAAAATAAAAATCCAATTATAAAAGGTTTTTATTTTGTATATATTATAGTAACAATTACCTCTAAATTTTTTAGGTGGATTCGTTAAATCACCAGCTTCCGGACATACAACAGTTCTATCATCGACCAACCTACAAAACAAAATGAATATAATTTTTGGGAAATTATCATCTAAATAACATCAAAAAATGAAGTAGGCAATTCTCCAGTATATCAAAATTTGTAAAACTATGTATTAAGCTCGTTTATATGACAGCTTCAACCGTATTTGAAGCCTATTTTATGTTCATATAACAGTTACTAGACTTGAAGTCTACTAGACCAGCTTCACTCAAGTCAAGTTGACTTGAAATGTTAATAATGATTTAAAAGTTAATAGCAATACGTCAATTTCGGTCTTGATATGATTTGAAGTCAAAAACTCAAGTTGCCATATAAACGAGGACATGCCAATATATTTTATTTGCTTGATTTTTCAAAAACGACAAATCTGCAATTAAGCAAATTTTTACAATTTAAATATTAGGTCTGTCTGGTATACTCGTAAAACTTCTCAAAAACTTTGAACATTGATAAAATGAAAACGTCATCATTTTCTCTCATTTCTGTTCAAAAAGTATTATCCCAGACGCTTTGCATACAAAAATTTTATAAAGTTTTTAAAAACTTTCTTATACCATCAATTGCAATATTAGGATTTATGACCTGATTGATCTAACATTGGTCATTGTAAACTGCAAGGATTTGAAATACTGGAAAATTGGTCTTAATTGTGTGTTATTATTTAAAATTTTTTAGATTCTAATATTACCCTAAGGTACTTAAGAATCCGCAAACACGACCTTCTGCATATAGTGATACAACATCCCCCATATGAAGAAAACTTGTCTGACCAATTAAATCTCCCATTTTTATTATTTTTTTTTTAATAAATTTTTATTTAAATATGTCGTTTTATTTTATTTATATGTTTTAAATAATTTTCTATATATTTCTTTTATTTTCCTTTTTTATATTAATAAACCCTGTATTAAAAAAAAATTTAATTCACATTAAAAAAATTGAGTATTTAATTTTTTATAAAAATAAATTGGTTTTTAAATATAATAATTTAATTAACTTTTTGCATTAGCAAAGAGATCGAATTCCATCAATATTTCAGTAAAAAAAAATATTTTGTTTAACTTATAGTTTCTTTTTGAAAACCTTTCTTCTTTGCCAAAATTGAAATTTTGCATTACTGGATACCTTCTTTTGCTAGATAAGGTAATATGAGTCATACGTTTGGAAAGATATTCCAGAAAGCTCTAAAAATATTGTTGGAGCGACTTTCAAATTTCCTGATCTTACAAGCATAAAAATAAGTAAAACACTTTTTTCTCGAAAATTTGAAAATGCTAGTTAATACGTTTTACCTTTAATTCAACGATCTACATAATATAGAGTACTGCCATACATTGTATTATTAATGTACATATGTATATGTTTAAACATTCTGTTTAAGATTTGGTTGGTTTCAATAAATCCAGCTGAGAGTCTTTTCTTACTTGATCATCCATATACATATTATGATCTTCCAAATTTCTTAAATTTTTTTATTTTCCTTACCAACAAGTTTTTTCTAAGTATGTAGTACTTTCATATGTTCACACATAATGTATATGAATATGTATGAATGTATCCCAAATTTATATATTTCTTACACTTAAAGTTTTTTTATTTGAAAAATTTATTAATACAATTTTTGTTTCTTTTTTTTTTATAAACACAATATAAAAAAATATGTAATACTATTATATATTTTAAACATACACATATATACATACATACCGTACATTGTATTCATATATACAGTAGAGCTTTCATAATTTGAACTCAAAATTTTTGCTTTACTTTATCTTACTAAATTAATGTTAAAACTGCGATAGCAGAAATCATACAAATGGATGCCGCAGAAGTGTCATTGTCACAATTCACTTCTAAATTGTTGAGGTAGCGCGACATCAAAATTTAATCTCAATATTTTACTTATCATAAATAGATTTAGTTTAACTTTTACAAGTTGTATTCATTTTTCCATATATTATGTAGTATGCATGCCCACCATTCAATTTATTTCAAAAAATAAGAAATAGTGGTTTTTTATTCAATTGCAATTCAGGTTTATGCGGTTTTCAAGTGGCTAATAATGATAGTTTTCAAGTTACGGCCGCGAGAGTCGTATAGACATGTCGCAGAAATTTCATTGTCGTCGTTCAGTTTACGTTGGCAGCGACAACGACAGTAAATTATTCAAAAACAATTTAAAAAATCTAATTTTATTTTTTACTAGTTGTATTAATGTTTTAACTTCTTCTTTTGGTTTTTTAATTGTTTTTTTTTTCCTTTTTTTTAGTTTTATTTTTACCGACCGTATTGTGTATACAATAGGTAAGTGATGTGATGGCAACAAATTTTGCATATCGAGTTTTCGGTGGAAATGCACTTCTCCATGGTAGGGAAATGTAAATAAACTATTTTTAGCAACCTGTCGGTCTGTTAGTCTGTGTATCTCAAGTTTGGCTAAACCGATTTTAATGAAATTTTATATGTAAGTTTATTTCGACTGTGGCATCGAGTGATCAATTTTTGAGATATATCAGGCCTCGGGAACTGCACTTTTCAGCGGGCCTGTTTACTTGAAATTTACTTGAAATTTCATATATAAGCTTTGCTCGATCGACCGCGAAACCTTCTGACTCTTGGAAGAAATCAGGCGTCAGAAACTGGACGTTTACTACGGGCCAAATATACATTTTTGCGTATATAATCATAATATAAAAATAATCAACCGTATTCATTGAAATTTAATAATTAAACTCAAGGTGCTAAAACAATAAATCTATAAATCTTTTGAGAAGACCAGAGCTCGGAAACTAATCTGAGGGCCGATTTTACATTTTTTAACTATAAGTTTACTAATGCCCTGAAAATTGGATTGAAATATTTTGTAACACTTTCACTTAACTAGACAATACACAATGCGGCCGGTTATGTGCTGATCACATCAGATTTTTTTTTGAGCGTTTTTCTCGCTATTTTTATATTTAAGAATTATGTTTGTCATTGAATTGTCATCGAAATGTTGCAACTATTTGAACTACCTGTTAACCAACAAAAACGATAACAAACGGTTGACTGTGTTATAACAAAAAATTATGAGTGCATGTAGGTGTTTCAGTTCGTTAATCTTACTTACCTCTTTTTTTTGTTTTTTGTTCTAAAGACTTTCTCTTCTGAAACTTCACTGTTATTTTTCTACTGTGCTCATAAAAGGAAAGTAAAAACATATCATGTAAAAAAAAAAATTCTAATTTTGGAAAATTTTTTTAATTGTTGATAAAAGCGAAACTACAAAGCGTGTAGAAAAAAGAAAAAAAAGTGGAATTATAATTTTCTCATTGCTCTTTTTTGTCAAGTCTTTTCGTTGACATTATTGCAATTATCCTTAATTTCTAAAACGCAGTACAAAAAATTTTTAGTGCAGTTTAAATACCGTCTAAATACAGTTTCACAACAATGAAAAGCTGCATTGGATGTAAGCTTTCGTTACATTTTCGAATGTCAATGACGACAAAAAACATAACATATGTACATAATTATACATTGTTTGTTTTTAAAATTTGCTTGTATTTATTTGTTCCAAAAAATTTTATTTTTGTATTAAAATTTTTGAAATCAGTATCCGTGTGAATAAATAATTATAATACAAAAAATATACTAAAAGATTTTCTAAAAGACTTAATAACTCAATTAATAATTTGTTGCTCTTGCCTTCGTGTTTCCTCGCATTTCTTTGTTGTTTTAAGAAATATTTTAAAATATCTTACTAATTTCAAGATTATTCTTACGAAAAAAATATTTTTCTGAAAAAAAATTATGGTTATTTTGGGAATTAGTAATTCTGGCAAGTCTTATTTTGACATGTCTACAAAAAATGGTCTCAATTTTTTCACTACACGCTGTGCTTTTATTTTACGTTTCCATTGCGCATTCAATACATTTTAGAATAGTGCAATCAAGAGCTTTTAATATACATTGTAGAGTATGATACATTGTAAATTTTACCTTTTCTAGATTAACACGTACGAATTCATAACCCACGCAACACTGCAAAACTTTCGTTATCTCTAATACTTATGTATTAGTTAAAAAATTGTACAATTTTGTTTTATATGTAGACACCCATGTATGTGTGTGCATCTTATAGAACATCTTAGACCATGGATCTAATAATACATGGATAGCTAGCGCTCATATGTTTCACATTAAAAAAAATCTGATGTGATCAGTACATAGTAAACCGCAATGTATATTGCTAGATTAGTAAAAGTATTCCAGAAGAGCTTTTAGTTAACATATCTAGAAAAATGTGAATTTTCCTCTAAGTAGAGTTTCATTTTGTGCCGTTCAAATTATACGAAAAGTTTGTCAGCAACTTTTGGTAACAACAAGAGCTCAAATAATAAATTTCAAGAAATTCCATCAATTCGTTCAGTAGATATGTCAAAAATATAAAATCGGAAAGTAGATCAGTTTCCAACCCCTGATATTTCCAATAAATTTATAGATTTATTGTTTTAGCACCTCGAATTTAGCTATTAAATTTTAATGAAATCAGTTGATTATTTTTCTTTATATACGCAAAAATGTATATTTGGCCCGTGGTAACCGCGAACGGTCGAATGAAGCTTATATATGAAATTTCAAGTAAATCTGTTGAATATTTTCTTCAAAATGATCAAAAATGTAAAACAGGCCTGCTAAAAAGTCCAGTTCCCGAGGCCTATTGTATACACAATTCGGTCAGTAAAAATGAAGCCAACATAAATTATCCGTGACTTCAATAATGCGCTTACGACGTAAACTTTACAAAGTATCACATCCCAAAGTTTAATAAAAGGTCTTGACACTTCTCTTAAATGCGTTCTATACGTAGTAGGTACACGTAAAATAAAAGTAAATTGGGTATCGATAATATCGAGCATGTTTTTCAGCAGAAGTAACCAATTAAATAAAGTAGCATTTATTTTCAGCAATAAAGTGCCAGTTATTAAGCTTTTCTCTTAAAATGCAACATAAAAATGCTACGTTTCTAATGATGTGGTAACGTTTGTTTAAAATTGATATTTGCACAGAACTTTAAATTGAACTTTTCAAACAAACGTCGAAGTATTTATTAATATTGTAAAAATTGTATTCCAAAATTGTATTGAGAGCTCTGAGACGGTACTACAATCGTATTAATACCGTACTTAAAACTTTTGTAAAGTATTATTGAAGTGACTGTATGTACCCTCTCATATAACGCAGTGTCAAATTTCCAAGACGACTGCAACCTGATGCAAATACAAGCAATGGAATTTAAAAATTCAATAAGTGTGTTTTATTAAAGTGGCTTGTGTAAAAAAATTATAGCGTTTTTAAGGCGACTTATTTCACATCATACACAATGACTTTGTTCATTTATCTCTTTCATTTAATTTTAAAATTTTCAAAATGATACGTTCATGATTTGGAAAATGATATTTTGGATAATCATTAATCCAAATCATGAACATATTTAATATATTATTAAACATATTAATTTTAATAATAATAGCATCCGAGTATATAAAAATTGTATTTTGTCATGGAGAAAAACGCTTGACATTAAATTTATAGAAAAAATATTCGCCAACATCTGACAAAAACTATTTTGTTTTTGGGTTAATATTTTAACGTAATGCACGTAAGCAATTATACACAGAAATATTAAGTAAACACCATTTGTTTTAATTTTGAAGAAATAATTATGTATATCTAAAAATAAATATATATAATATGTTTATTGTATTATTGACTTAAAATAACTTACATAAATTTCTAACTATATTCATATTTCCGTTTCTGGCAACACCTTTTATGTTGTAAAAAATAAAAACAAAAAAGGAACCTATTTGTGTTGGCTTCTTGACATTACAAAAAATCAAGGGCTGGACCCTGCTTTTTTTGTAAATCCATTTGTAAAATTGCATATGCATTTTTGGCGAAATGACATTTCTGAAGAATCGTTTTTTTTTGTTGTTTTTTTGATAAAATTATGATTTTTGCATATTTTTATTTCGAGTGTTCTATACGAAAAGTTGACTAAAACCTAAAAATTCTTATACTAACATGAAACTTGGAGTTTTCTAACCAAGGTATCAAAAATTCAAATTTCAACTCAAAATTTTAAGGATAATTTTGATTACATTTTCGAATTTTCTCCGAATTTTTTGTACCATGCCAGGCAACATATTTGAGAGAATTGAGAGTAAAAAATGATAATACAGTGAATAAAAAAAATTTGGTGCTACATTTTTTAGTCTAGAATACGTGACTTAAAATAAAGTTCATAAAAATTTTATTAGGTTTTAATTTAAGTTTGTAATTATTTGATTTTAAGGTTTATAATTATGAAAGTGCTTTCAAAATTTTGTAATCGTTATAAAAGATGCTTCGTTTCAAGTTGTCCCCTATATAAAAACAAACATAATAAAAAAATAGGTATATATTTTATTATATAGGGGTTTGATATGTTGGTCAGAAAACTCCAAAATTCATGTTAGTATAAAAATTTTTAGGTTTTAGTCAAGTTTTCGTATAGAAAATTCGAAATGAAAATAGGCAAAAGTCATAATTTTTCTAAAAAAAAAACAACAAAAAAAAATGAGTGTTCAGAAATGTCATTTCGCCAAAACTACATATGCAATTTTACAAATACATTCACAAAAAAAGCAAGGTCGAGGCCTTGATTTTTTGTAATGTCAAGATTTTGGGAGACATATCCTACAAAATTAGCAAACTCGTTAATATCAAATGTATGTACGTTTTCTCAAATTTGAAAAAATACCCCAAAATCAACTAAATATTTCGAAAAAAAAATTGCATTATTTTTTTTCATTGAAATCTTAAAAAAATGAACGGAATCTGGAAGGTGTTTTTTAAATCAATTTTTTAATATTTTAATAACACGAAACTTTAAGAATGTAAGCCCAAGTAATGTAGAAAAAGATTGAATTTTAACTTTTTCTAATTAAAAATTTGAAAAAAGTTTATCTTGTGGGAGATTTATGATATTAAGAATGGACCTCTATATGTCCCATAAAAATACGTGTAAATTCGTCAGCTGTGGACTGTCACTCTTTCTTAGGGTCCAGGCCTGTATTTCTGTCAGCTGTGGTTGGCTTTAAAAATTATTATTTGTCAGTTATCAATGTATTAGACATAAACACCAATCAATTTCCATATTTGATGTCAAACATGTCAAAACTCTTCGATTTTAATTTTTATTAACTAAAAAATGTCACACATTTCATAAGGTTAAATTATCCTTAAATTGAGAGTAATTTTCGTTGTTTACGACTTTACTTTGTTTATTAATGCCATCAAAAATGATAACCATAATTTAAATTACGTCGGTTCCTATTAGAAAATTACACACATATATGTATATCCATATGTACATTTGTCCTATAAACTTCATATATGTATGTATGTATGCGTATATAAAAATTAAATTAATTTTTAACTGTACAACAAAACCATTTCTCGTGCTGTGTAACATTTTACGAGAATTTTTTTAACTTAGAATATTTTATTTTATACTTGTTGTGTTGCCATTATTCGCCGCAGAAGCGACACACGAACTATATGTCTATATACATATAGTTTTATTGCGAATTTACAGATTCGACTTTTCATTCACAAATTTGTTTTGATATTTTTTTGAACTTTCAACTTAGAGTTTTCAATTTTAAAAATATTTTTAAAAAATTTTCTTTTTTTGTTATGAATTGTATTTTAATTGTATCAATTTTATTTTATAATGTAAAACAAATATTTTAAATTTCCTTTGGTGTTTTCTTAAATCATTTGCCTATAGATTGTATTCTTTTTATATCAATTGGATGCAAAAAAAAATTATCTATATTATACGTACATCATAAAGAGATGAATGTGTAAAAGATTTAATTATATGTATAGATTATATTTATATATCAAATATATACATACATGAAAGTGTGTACATATGTTTTCATATATCGCACCTTGCGAGCAACACTGCAATAATTCGATCAAAGTATATCTACTCAAGAAGTAGTTCACTCGTTCCATTCCGTTATTTTTCGTTTGCTTGCCACTTCCAAAATCTTAAAATATTCGATTTTTCTTTAAATAGATCTGAATAAGAGTTGTGTAGACAAGAAACAAACAAAATATTGTAACGAATGTGTCAAAATCATAAAACTTAAATAAAATTAAATTAAGTTAGGTAAAAATTTCGTTATTTTTATTTTGATAACAACAAGATTTATTTTTCATATTTTATTTTCCATTTCAAAAAATTAGGTAAAGACATTCGAATGTATGAAAGCAATAGCTATAAATTTAAAACTTCATACTGTGTATAAAGTCATAGACTCCTATAATGTACAATATAAATAAAGATGCTGTTATAAAGTACATACTTATTTAAGGTAAATACACAATATGATGTAGTAATATGTATGTACCTCCTTTACATGTTTGCTTTATTATTATGTCTATATAAAAGTTACTTGACTTAAAGCCGGCTTCACTCAAGTCGCTTACTTGACTTGAAATGATAAAAATAATTTGAAAGTTAATAGCTAAACGCTGTTTTCGGGTTTTTAAGCTAACATTGTAAAAACGCAGCTTGAGTTTCGAGCTGATTTCACGTCAAGCCGCAATGTACACGAGGTACAGAAATAAAGCAATTTATAAGAAGAAAATGTGTATTACCGATACGAGTGTATGTAGGTTTTTTTAAAGACAAAATTGAAATAAAAATTTCATAGTTTATATTTATTACAATAAATGTAATGATAATTACAAATTTTAACTTTTTTTTAATATTATTTGTCTTTTTCAATTTGTATACATATAAATTATAATTTTAAATTTATAATCGTCAAATTATGTTTTTAAAACGCTTTGTTTTTATAATATGGATACACCATTTCTGCCACCTTGTATTGAAATAAACTACAGATATGAAACTCCCGCTTTCAAAATTCTTAATATTTTTTCCTATACTTTATATACGGAAAAATAAATAACTCCCGCTTTTAAAAATATATTCTAAAAAAAACAGGTAGACATCTACTGCGTACTCTTTCCCTCTCCACAAAATTCTTATGTGTATAAAAATGGAAATAAAAAGGTATTCTGCTTGGTTGAAATATTGATTGCATTAGTGTGATGTAAACGGAGAGTCGAACTACTTTTAACCTAAATTCTATGAAATGAAAAGTAAATTTTGTTATCAAAATAAAAATAACAAAATTTTTAAGTTTATTTCAGTTCGGCTTGAAACGAGTCGAATTACTTATAGAATAAATATACTTTGGTCAGAACTGCAAATGCAAATTCAATCAGAGTTTCAAAACACTAAAGAGATACATAATGTAACCAAAAAAAAGAACATACTTTTTTTTTAAAACTGAAAGGTAGAAGAAAAATTATAAACTTAATATAAAATTATATTAAGCTTTGAATAAAATGATACACTTAATATTAAAAATTGAGTTAGTTTTCTTGTTGCGCTATTTTAGTAAGGGTGCAATATTTCAAATGAAAATATGTTAATACACATTCATTATTATCTTATATATGCAAAATATATATATATATAATTGTATATTTTTTTAGGTAAATTTTTGGTAGTGTGTATGGATACTTTTTATTATTATGTTCATATACATATATTTGCTCTGTTAATATCTATGTTATAATTACAAAAATAAGGAGAATATTAATTATATATAAAATTCGACCAATGGTTGCATTGGTTATGGCACCAGCCCTATAACTAAAGGGTTTCGGATTTCAAACCCTGGTGCGTAAAAGGACCGGTGCCATAAGCAGTCATTGGTCAAGTTACATTAAATATATAGGTACATACATACATATTTTTAGATTTGCAAATTCCTAAATTTCATGAATTTTCTTACGTTTCGCTTTTTCTTTTTTTTTTAATTAAATCTTTTGATGATAATTGAATATAAAAATAATTATTTTTGTATATATGTAAATTAATAAATTAATATTTTATGTATAATATTCAGATAAGTAGGTATACATAATACAATAATTTTATTTATACACACACACGCGCACTTTATACTTATATTTTTATTGTATAGATTTTGGTTGTAAATTCTGGTACTAATTTATTCCTTTTTTTTAATTCCTTTTGATTTATATATACATATATATATATACATTTAATTTGTGCACAATATTACTTTATATTTAAAAAATTACAAATAATTATAATCAATTTTAGTTTTTGCATAATTATTATTTAAAAAAAAATAACAAGAAAAAAGGTGCACATCAACTTCATTTTTACAACACACTACTGAACAGTGCACTATTATTTTTTTTCCGCGCTTTGTGCGGCGTATTTTAATATTATTATTGCAAAATTTTTGACATTTAACAGGCTGATTGATGGTATCTGATTAAAAAATAATAGTTTTTACATTGTTATTTTTTTATCTTATTATTTTTAAAGCTTTACTATTTTTGATTCATTCAAATTAAAATTTTGACATTCTCTTTATTAAGTTCAGATTTTTTTCCTTTCTCTGTAAAAAAAAGTTCAATCACATTTTAATACGGAGTTTTTTTTAATGTTGATTATTAGTTTACAGATCACAATTACATGTCATTGTTGTCAAAACAACTTGTCAAACAGAAAAAAATGTCGTACATAAAAAGGTTATGGCGTCAATGAAACTGTCAAGAGGAAATGAATTCGACTTGAAATAGCCAAGATTAGAACGGACAAATTAATGAAAGCACCTGATAGAACTGTTCACTCGATATCCTTTTATTTATATTTTATTATTTACATATATACCTGTTTTTTTTTAATTTCTTTTTTCAATGCGTTCAGTCATAAAAAATTTTGAAAAAAACATAAAAGTTATTTTGAAATGTTTCAGTGGTGTGTTAAATGGCAGCCAGCAATCATAATAACACAAAATTATGCTTAACAATAACTGTATTTAAAAAATGACTCCGCTTGCATTGACATATACGTTTTACAAATTAATTTTCTATATTTTTATAAATTATTTTCTACATAAACAAGGATAAATATATAAGAGTTGTTGTGTAAACGTAACTAATTTAAATTAAGTTCATGCAACAATCAACAGCTTTGTGTTCGATAATTATTACACTTTTTATATGGCAGATTCAACATCAAGTGTTTTTGAAACATATATTATGACATTTTTGTCAGCCGTGGTTCATATAAACATTTCTTGACTTAAAGCTGTTTCCATTCAAGTCAATTAAAAAATTTTGCTTACTTGATTTGAAATGTTGAAATCAGAGTATAAAAGCCATTTATTCCACTAATTTTTAATCATTTTTAATATGTTAAAAAACAAATTAAAAAATTAACCTTTTTAAATTTTCTTTATATTTTGTTCTAATGCAAAATACATTCAAAAGCCAGTTAAAGAAACAACAAAAAAAATTCGTATTTTTAACCCAATGTAAATAACATAAAAAACTCGTTTTGTATAAAATTATAGTTTTTTATTTCACAATTACCTGTTTTTTCTCTTTATTGAATTATTTCAATTTGATACATTTAAGCAGTGTTTCCACTTTGGTTTCATATAGACAAAATTAAGTAAATTTTTTAACATTTAAAATTATTTTTGAAATCCTAAAACTTATATAAATTTTTTTTGTACTTCCGTTTATTTTTTAAATATTTGCTTACATACATATATAGATATATTTTTGACTGTGAACAGAATTTATTTAATTGTAAATACAATTAGGCAATCAGTTAATGAATTATCAAAATTTTTGTAAAGAGAAAAATATTTGATTAACATTTTATTTATGGCAGGTTCAAGTTTGCTTCAAAACTTGGTGTGATTGTGTTGTTATTTTTTAATTATGAACTAAAAATAGAATATACTTTTTATTTCAAAAAACTAACTATTTTAAAACTATGATCCGAAAATTTAGCAAAATTTGGCTTAAAATTTTGATTTTATAAATATAGCTCATAAAATTTTGCAAGAGTATGGCAGTACGAAAAATAAAATATAAAAAAAAACAATTACAGAAAAATAGAGATTAAATATTAATATAACTTTATGCTTCCAGGGTTACCACCGAACAAGAAAATAATTTCAATTGTCATCAAAAAAGTTAATGAAACGAAATAAAATGTTACTTATTATAAATTCTTTTAATTAGAAATCTCACTGAGGGCTCAGGCAGATATGGTGTTTTTAAATTTGTAACTGCTTAATAGCTTATGCATTTGTATTCCATATTTTTCTTACATTCAAGCGCGCACACATGCATATGCAATTGGTTAATCAAACACTTTGTAATTTCAATTTTTACAAACTGATTAAAGTTTTCTAGTTAACGCGATTGATTTGGGTTGGCGTAATATTTTTAATTGCTTACTTTAATTAATCAAGTAGTAATTGCAAAACTAAAAATTCCATATTTTCCCGAAACATAAAACTGAATTCATTGGTTCTACGTTTTCAAATTGAACCGATTTTTTTTTTTATTATAGTTTATTTGATAAATTTTTACACAATATAGTAGTTTGTAAATTTGGTAGTGCAATATTATTTAGTAGTACATTTGTAATCTCCGCACAAAAATGAATTTGAATTGTGTATTTTTAGTAATTACAGTTATCTATTTATTCATGAGTTACAATCACTCACCAATGTTTGTATACAAAAAATTTGCTTAGCTAAAAAAGTTAAGCAGAATACCTTTTTATTTTCATTTCTATACACATAAGAATTTTGGAGAGAGAAAAAGAGTACGCAGTAGATGTCCACCTGTTGTTCTAGAATGTATTTTAAAAGCTGTAGTTATTTAGTTTCATTACATTTATTGTAATAAATATAAGCTATGAAATTTTTGTTTCAATTTTGTCTTTAAAAATTTAAAACGCATATCTCTTATGAATATATACACATACACACGTATCGGTAATACGCATTTTTTTTTTATAAATTCCTTAATTTCTATACCTCGTGTAACTTGCGGCTTGACGTGAGATTAGCTCGAAAGTCAAGCTGAGTTTTTACAAAAAAAAGCTGAGCTTAAAAACCCGAAAACGGCGTTTAGCTATCAACTTTCAAATCATTATTAACAAGTAAGCGACTCGAGTGAAGCCGGCTTCAAGTCAGGTAACGTTTATATAGACATAATAATAAGCTTAAGGCAGCCATATAAACGGGGTACATGCATATTACTACGTCATATTGTGTATCTATCTACCTTAAATATGTAGGTATGTACTTTATACACAGTATGAAATTTTAAATTTATAACTGTTGCTTTCATACATTCGAATGCATTTACCTAAGTTTTATGAAATGAAAAATAAATTTTGTTGTTATCAAAATAAAAATAACGAAATAATTTACCTAACTTAATTTAATTTTATTTAAGTTTTATGATTTTGACACATTCGTTACAATATTTTGTTTCTTTCTTGTCTACACAACTCTTATTCCCATCTATTTAAAGAAAAATCGAATATTTTAAGAATTTCAAGTGGCTGACAAGCAAACGAAAAATAATGGAATGGAACGAGTCGAACCACTTCTAAGAGAAATATATTTTACTTTGGTTACAAGCTAGCCGTACAGAAAATTACCGAAAATATATGGCATCCCTGCTGATACTTATAAAATATGTTAACGTGCAAAATATGAAATTAAAAAAAAGGAAAAAAAAAAGTACTTTATAGTTGTCTTGCTTCTTCTGCGTTCATTTTGGATAATTTTCACTTTTCGTTCTGTCTTTTTTAAATATATATTTTTAGCTGGCCTACTCTAGCAGCTCTAATAGCATGTTAGCTAAACCCGATTAATGTCAAAGAAAAAATATGTATTAAATTTTTTTGTTGTTTTTGTTTCTTCTCTCATTTTATAACGTTAGTGTGAATGAAACTTTCAACATGGTCGGTGTAGCGACGACGACGACGGAGTATAACACTTGAATAGGAAAAAAAAGAAGAAAAACAAGAAAAAGAGAAAAATAATAAAACGAATAATAAATTTGGCTTTGTTGTGTTTGTGTTTCTTAAATATTTTTTTAAAATAAAAAAAAAATTATTAAAAATTTTTTAGTTTGTTCTCGTTCAATATATATTTTTTTTTACTGTGTACAAAAAAATCTTTTTATAAAAATTTTAAAAGTTTTAATTTTGTTGAAAATTATAAAAATTTTTGGTGCTGTTCTACAAAAAAAGAAAAAAATAGAAAAAAAAAATCTGAAAAGCTGATTTTTTTTTTTAATTCCTTAATTTCGACATTTTTATTTTTTTCTCCCAAAATTGTATTAAAATTTAATTGAAAATTTTATTTTAAAATTTGCAATTTTAGTAATTCAATTTTATATATATACATTTTTTATAGAAGGTTTTGTAAAACAAATTGCAATAAAATTGAATTGAAAATATTTTTTTTTAATGAAAAAGCGAAAAAAAATCAATATTAAAAAAAGAAAAACGTGTAAAAGAAATTTTTTTTTAATAAAAATTGAAAATTTTGAATAATTTTTATTTGAAAATTGAATAGAAAAAAAGAACAAATTTAATTTCCAAATTAAAAAAAAAACTTATTTAATAAAGAAAAAAAAGTAAAATTTAACATCCGTATATTCATACATACAAAAATACACATATATGTATATTTATAGTTTTCTATTATATATAAAAATCTATTTATATATATGAATCCGTGTAATTTATATATATATAAATTATATAAAACTTGAGAATATACCGTTGTAATATTGTATATGCAATATATATATCCTTATATATACGTAATTGATGTGTATATATGTTGCATATACAGAAGTAGAACCGCGGTAGTGCAGAACAGTGACAGTTTTTTAAATATTTTTCTCTCGTACTTTCCTCCCGTATATATGCACGCACGTATACACATATACATTTGTGGTGGCTTTGCTGCGATATGTGGTGATGGTTTTTTTGTATATCTGCAATATAAAAAATAATTAAAAAGATGAATTTGAAAAAAGAAAAAATATAATAAAAGTTTTGCTCTCTCTCTCTTTATCCATATCTGTATGTACGTACATACAAACATGCATACATAAAATGTGCCTATATAGTCTATACCTGAATGCATAAATATAATGTATGTAATATTTTTTTTGTTTTCATTTTTTAAATTGTATACTTGATTAGGTACTTAATATATATAATTTTTTATTGTAACTATATAATGTAACTATATGTATATATTTAAGTGTATATGCATGTATATATATATGTATATAGGTATTTAATAAAATATATATTATTGTGTTTTATAAAAAAAAAATTTTATTTGCACTTGCGATATTAATTTGTGAGTTTTTCCTTTTTTATTATTGAAACTTAAAATCATTTAATTTAATTTCAAAAATTAAAAAAAAAATCAATTAAATATAAAAAAAATATTTAAAAAGGCGCGCTGCTACACATTTATTTCCTAATCACAAATTATTATAAGGTTTTTAACATCCATTTACTACATATTTTATGTGTTAACTTTCAATCATTCATAATGTGTGGTACCAATCCAGTTAAAAATTTCGTTCGTAAAGGGTGTAAAAAAATTGAAATTTTTCGGGAAAAATAGAATTAAATATTTAAAGGCTCTTCAATTTCTATAATTATGAAAAAAAAAAAAGGTTTTTACCTAAAGTGCTCACTAAAATTTTGTACCTAAATGCTTGCTAAAATTGTTTTAAAATAAAAAAAAAACAAGGAATGTGTGGTTTAAGCGCTGTGTGTCAAAAAGAGAGAGAGAGTGTTATTATTTTTACTTCTATTACCGACCGCATTGCATACAATTAGGGAGGTAATGTGATGGAAACAAATTTTGCATATCGAATTTTCGGTGGGAATGCACTTCCCCATAGTAGGGAAGCATAAATAAATTACTTTTATAGAGATTTCGGTTCTCTGTGTGCGCGCGTGTATCTCAAGTTGGATTTGATCAACTTTTGGGATATATCACAGCTCTGGAACTGAACTTTTTTGCGAGTCAATTTTTTTGAAGTTTAATATTCGAATTGACATTTTTTACCACATTTACGGAAAGAATTGATGGAATTTTTTGAAATTTGATATTTGAGATCTGAATGTCACCGTAACTACGTAACTAGTTACATTTTCAGAGGATTCGGGTGACAGAAAGCGAAAATTTACAAAGTTTACACTTTTCTAGGCATGTTAGCTAAACATTTGCTAAGTTCCTTAAAATTGATTCAAAAGATTATTGAAATCAAAACTGACTTACAACCACATCATTTTTTACCTAAACGTATATTTCTTGTTAATTTGCATAATGCGAAAAATATAGTAGGATTTCATTATTATTACAACATTAGACAACAAGAATCAACAGGAAATTTTAGTTCTTGGAAAAAAAAGCAATTACATAGGTACATATAAATTCTTTGCATTATTTTGCTCTGATCTCTGTTTCTTATAAAACATTAGAGTACATATACATACATAATCACAATGGTTGTATCTACATAATATTTAACATATATATGTATATTTTAACAAAAAAATTCCCAGAAATAAGTTTTTTATAAAAATTGTAATTTTTTAGACTACTTTTTTTTGCGTTTTAAAAATTTTCCGTAAATCGATTTTTTTCCCGCAAAAAGGGACTTTGGTTTAGTTTTTGAATTTCGTAAAACCGAAATTCCGTATAATGAGCTTCCGTTAAGCGAGGCATGGGTGTATTGTGTTACATTGTTCAATGTTATTGAAAAAAAAAACAAGTTTGGTGTAAAATTAACTTTTACAGTACTCTATTATCCTCAATAAGTCCTTAACGAGATTAGGTAGCTTGATTGCCAAGTCTTTCAGCTGTACTAAAATTGGACCAAGCTCCTGTGTTACGTGACTTAGGAAATTAAGGTTTTTTAAAATTGAAAATTTAAAATTTCAAACTTTTTGAACTTCAAAAATATGTGATTCCGAGATCTGAACAGATTATAATTAATGTAGATCATAAAAAAATAATAAGAAAGGTACAGATAAGAAAGCTCTTATTCTGAGGTTTCCAAATCGTATTTAATAATAGTTGTTTTGCACAGGCACGGAGTTATACTTAACATTTCAAAAAGTAAAAAAAATTAGTTGAAATTGACTTTAAGCCCCTATAGCTCCGAATCTGTTGAACTGTGAGTATCGTCTCTATACAAAAGTTTTTCTAATCATGAGGGCCTGTGCAATGGTATATAGCGGTGCACTTTGATAGGAAACACCCTGTATAAGCCTGTTTAAGGTACCTAGACCAATTTTTTTTTTTTATTTCAAGCCTTTTTGAGAAGTTATTATTTATAATAATTTTTTATAATAGTTTTGTTTAATTTTTTTTTTTATATTTTAAGGGGATAGAAAAATTTTATGAATGAAATGGAGTTAGGTATACAAAAATGTGAATTTATTTTATAACGAAGAAAATAAAGTCGAAGAAGGGAAGGGATCAACACGAGTTTTGTATTTTCAAATTTAATTGGAATTTAAAATTTTTTTGCCATATCTTGGCTGCGGATCATAAGAATTAAGATTGCTTTTGTATTGACAATTGCTTTTGTATTCGATTATTTTATTTTAATAAATATAAATTACTTTTGAACATATTTTGGAATTAAATTAGATCTAAAGTATGTACAAGATACAAAACTTTTAAAACTTTTCAATGCTTCTATAACCTGACTGCAAGGATTTTATTAAATAAATACCTTTATTCTTATCTTTTTTTTTGGTTTTAGTCTTCTTTTGATCATTTTATATAATTTTTATTTTTCTTTTTTTATCGTAATACGGTAAGAAAAGCATAATTATTCTAATTCGAAGTTTTATTAGTTTTATTATTTTTATTATTTTTATTTGAATTGCACGCACATCTTTAGTTCATTCTCTGATTTGGTGTATTATTAAAAATCATTTTCACTTTATGACTATGAAGAATGTTGTCTACCTTTTCTCTTTCTGGCCAATTAATATTTCTTTCCCATAGTTATAATACTTTTAACTACTTAAATAAAATTTAACAGCCCATTGAAGATAAACCCTTCTTTTCATTCTTTGTATAGACCGTATAGGTATGCATTGCTGAATCTGTCGGACAATTTTATTTTGGTAGTTAGGTGGGTAACCTACCAGCTTCTATTATTGTATCTGCTATGCTAATCTAAATATCTAATATTTAAATTGAAGATGAATTTTTTGCCTTTTTTAACGTAAATTTAATATGCTATTATTATTAAATTCAAATGTACATTTGATCTGTGAACGAATGGCATTGCAAACTGGGAAATAAAGAGTATTATATATTAATGTTATGTAAATATGTATGTATGAGTGTATTTTGGATAAATTATTAATTAAAAATATTTTTAATAGAATTTAAGTAAAGCAAAATATAATTTTATTTATTATGGATAGTGTAAAAATGTAAATTACGAAAAGGATTAAAATTATTTTTTATTTAATTAGAAAAATCAATGATATTTATTAAAAAAAAATATTTTAACAATTAAAAAAAATAAAATATATTTATTTAGAGTGGTACACAAATAATATTGTATTAAAAATATAAAAACAAAACAATAAAAAAATATAACACTATAAAACAATTTTTATAAAAAAAATTTGACAGATGAAATTTAACTTTTCAACTATAAATGAAGAAAAGAAGCAAGAAACCTTTTAAAGTAAGACAACTCATATACGTTTAGAGAAAAAAAACACTTATTTGAGCTAAAATTCAGGTAAATTTTCAATATTTTTTAATTTCCAAATATATGTAAACTTTATTAAGTTCTCCTTGGTTTTTGAAGGATTGCAATTGCAGAAGAATAATGCCGCATAATTCTGTAGCGCTAATACATATTCGTTTCTCTATCCCAAGTAGCAATTATAATAATATTTCTATGCCTTTATTTTTCACTTGAAATTTTAGACACCGTTTACACATCAAACAAAGTTTATTAACTTTTAACTCTTTTTAATTTTAAATTATTTAAAATCAAAGGAATTTACTTTTTTGACATTTTATTATTTTTTTTTCAAAAGATTTATTATTCAATTAAATTGTAGCATACCAGTAATTTTCTTATCTATCCTCGTCATTTTATTTTTTTATTTCTCTCCAAAAGTTTTGCTTTTTTTGATTATATATTTACATATCAAATTAACCAGCTTATACAATTTTCTGAGATGTACAATTTGAAAAAATAATTCTGTATTTTTATGTAAGTTTCCATTCCTTTTATGATTAAGATTCTTGTCGTACAAAACGAATTAAATTACGTCTCCCTTTAATTTGTCCTCAAAATAAAATTTTTACTAAGTCAAATATCATAATATTGTAACAGTCAGTAATGAGATTTGTGGCAGAAAATTTAAAATTTCCGGCATTGGCAGGTTCCAAATATATAAAAAATTCCAAAATTTACAAATATCGGAAAATTGTGGCTCAGATCAAATTGACTGTAAGATCGAAAATAAAGAGCAAACAAATGCGTGTAAAGCAAGTACCTGATAGTAACTTTAAGTCGCGTGGTTCCGTAATTTTAACCGTTTGTTTATATGCAGAAAAAGTCTGGTACCTTTTTTTTCAACAGGCTGTAGCTCGAAAACGAGTATATCTGCACCTTTAAATTTTCAAATTTGCCAATATTGGCACACTTACTTTGAATAATAGCCTATCACTGATGAGATAGTATTAGGTACGTACATAATATTATATGTAACTTAATTACTTAAGTATATATAAAAAGTCAAAGAGTATTAAAAAAAAAAAGCAAGAAAAAAAGGTTTGTAGAGAGGGTCTGTGTAAAATGCGCAAACGTGTTATGTGTGTACTTTTTCTTTTCTGTTTATTTATTTCCATTTTCATCAATTTTTATTTTTTTGTGTGTGTTGTCCGGCTCTTTATTAAAGAAACCAATTTTATATTATGTGATGCTGTAATATTGCTGTTAGGTTTGCCATCGTGGTAATTTTCTACCATAAGTGGAAATTTTTTATTTTCGTTTGGTAACTTTGTAGCTCTTACGCAAATTTTAAAATTCTTGATACTGGGATTCTTGAATTATCTACTTTTGCTCATTTCACAACAAAAAAAACTGTTGCTTCCAGATTACTTTGGTCTTAATATTGAAAATAACTTTTTGTTTAGTTGAAAACTGTTAACAAAAAACTACTTTCTTTTAAAATATTGTTCTTGCAAAAGTTATTGTAAATGAAATTTTTATTTGCCACAAAAAAAAAATAAATCGTTGCGTCGATTTTTCCCATTTAAGTATTCAAAATTAATCAAACACAACGAATTATAAATATTAAAGGAAGGAGCATCTTTGTTTCTATCTCGCTTACACTCCTTATAAAGATAATATTTTTAAAAGTATCTTGAAAAAAAATCATAGTGAAACCAAAAACCACAGGTAAGTCTCTTTCTTCGCTCCGAGCATTGTCAAAATGAAATTAACATTAAATGCCAAATGCTGTTGTTTTTTTTCTTAGAAAATTACGCGCCGCAGTATAAAAAGTAAACAAAGAAAATTTTGTTTTTTACTGATAAAATTAATGCAGTTCGTAAATAAAAAATCTCAAAACTTTTTTTTATAATAAAGCTGGGTGACACCACTGGTTTGTACTGTAGCATTTTTCCGTTAAACAAGGGAAAATACTGCTTTTAAATACAGTGTATGTATACCTACCACAGTATTAAAATTATTTTGATTCATTAACGAAACGATTTTTAGGATTGCATATATTTGGGATGAACGATTTATGTCGTCTTTGAAATAAAGCAAAAATTAATATAAAGATGGGTTAATTTAATGCTCGTTTTTAAGGGTTAATTGCGTGAGTTAAGAAAAGTAATTGTATTTTTTAATGTCATGGAATTTACCGTTAGCTTTTTGCGTTTATAGAAATTTGAAAAAAACTTGCTGTTTCGGAAATATAAGGCGTCAAAAATTCAAATTTTACAAATTTCAATAGGCGATAACTTGAGAGGGGGTGGAGATGGAAAAAAAAATCCTTCTAACGAAATAAAGTATTTATTAGTATTTAAAAGCTGCTGGCTCCACCAAACTGGGGTCTAGAAGAAAAACAACTTCAAAAATTTGGAAAAAACAGGTTTTAGATAACGGTAAATTTAAACGGCCATTTTGTTTTTTTAAAGTTTGACTATAGTATGCCACGATAGAAGAAGCAAGGAACTGCCTTTCTGCGTTTGCAAATTTGAAAAATGCTTATTGTTTCACTGCAACAAATAGTTAAAAAATGGCATTTTTAGGGTTTTGGGGGGTATAACTTCTAGAGCGGGAGAGACACGTAAAAATTTTGTTCTACGGCAATAAGTTTCTAGTAAAGATATACGCACATATAAAATTTCAGCTTTCTATCTTCAAGGGTGTATAAATTTTGTAAACAGACACACGGACAGACGAACGGACGGGCAGATAGAGTGAAATTAATAAGCACTTTTTTTAATTTTTTTTTTGGAAAAGTGCTAAAAACTCATAAAAAAATTATAACAAGTGAAAAAAAGAAAAAAATTTGTTGAAAAAGAAAAAGGTGTATAATTCTAAATTGTTATTCCCATTTGTAAAAACAAATAGTTTTATTACACCATATATATGTGAATATTATTGATTTCAATAATTAAAAGAAATATTAATTCAATAGCGCTTTGAATAATTCACAATTTCTAATTTTATCAAGTTTTTAATTTTGCAAAGAAAATATGTTTTTGTTTTAAATTAAAATTACTGCGGATAACATCATTTTAGCAGGGCCGGATGATTTTTAAGCAAAAAGAGTTTGTGTTTGATAAAATGTAGCATACAAAAAAATATTTTAAATTATTTTTTTTTGGATAATTACAGTTTCCTAAAAATGATGAAATGAGATATATTTCCCTTTATAGAGTGAAGATTTGGTCACCAAAGAAATACATGAAGACGTCCCCCAATGGCGTTGAATTCAGTAAGTAAAATAAAATATTAGCGTGAATTATTTGGATTCTAAAATATTTTGTTTCAGAATTAATTAGTATGTGAAGCTTAATTGAAATAAATAAGAAAGAATACGACAACATACCATCTACTTCAGTGAGTAATAACCACCATATTAATTAAAATTTGTTAAAAATTATACTGCTTTAGACTCATTAAGATTTATATGAATTATTAAGATTTATTGTCATTAATATTGTTTAGTAAAATTGTCAAACAAAACTAATAATAGATATAAAAAATTTTTAACAAATTATGATCATTTGCAATTTATAAAATAAATTTATTTAAAGAGAAAAAAACAATTTGGTTTTTTTTTACATATATCTAAAATGAAAAAATATTTTGGAATATTTTTTAGTTTTTACTTTAAAAAAACTTATCCTTCTTACAGACAAGAAAATAAATATATATACTCTACTGTTACGACTTTGACAATGCTCGGAGCAAAGTAAGACAACTAGAACAAATTTGGCTTCATTGTTTTTTTCAAGATGCTTTATTTCTTAATTGTTGATCATACATGCATGTCTTGTTTAAAGAATTATATTAAGGTAAGGAGAATCAATATCCATTATGTTTAATCAGAATAAGATATTTTAACGAGTATACTAAATACAATAAGAAAGCTTATGTGAAAGGTTGAACTAAAACTTTCAACATAAATGTCTTCTACATGATAGAAGAACGTAGAATTATATTTTTTAGCAAGATGCCGGTCTGACCGTCTGTCTTGTACTCTTTTGTCAAACTGCGAACTTGTTTGTCTAATTCAATTTCAACTAACTGACGACTAATTTTTTCGTAGAAATATAATGTCATAAATTAAACCTCAACTACGAGCTTAATTTACATTTTTTTTTTACAGTAGATGTGTTAACTAAAGACTTGGTTGTTTTATTAAAATTTGAAAGAAATTTCAAGGAAATTTTTGTTATCTTACGCAACATTTTCATGAAACTAAAAAGTACACTTTTTCGTGACCACAATTTGCGGCAATCAAATAAAATTTTAAAATTTGGTCCACATGTCACCATGTAGTAGCGCTACCAAATTAAAAGAAACGCATTATTTTGGTAGCGTTTTTCTTAATTTGATAACTTTTTAAAACGAAAGTGGTAATTGCTTTTGTTCTTTTCTCCCGACAATCCTGATTTTCTTTTTTCGTTTTTTCATATATATATTTTTTTTTTTCAAATTTTTTTTCATATTCATATTTTTTTTGTGAATAAAACAAGTTTTTATTTTATGTTTTTCTAGTTTAATTTCTAATAAAATAATTTTGCAATCTTTTTATATATGTATATAAGTATATGCATACAAGGTAAATCCAACTAAAACTGTTATTCAGTAGGATACTTTTTTCGATTCAGAATTTGAGAACGTTAAAGATTATGTTAAACACATAAAAACAAACGTGAAGAATACAATATTATTGTCGTCTCACATTAAATGAATGGGGATTTTTGACAATTTTGTTTTAATTTTTGTTTTTGATCACCTTCGATAAATCCAAACCGCAAAATCTGGTCAAAATATACATATATATATATATATATTTGTATATATATATATATATATATATATATATATACCTATATGTCGGAAGGCCACGACATTTGCATACTGTTCCAAACGCGCTATGTTTCATGGCAGAGTTCCTTATCTCCTCACTTACCTGGTGACATCCAGATCCCTATGAATATCACTATTGCGCACATACAAGGGAGCACCACATTACT